GAAAAGAATAGGTTCCCCCAAGCATCTGCTTTGAGCCAGCCCCTGGCAAGGCAGAGAAGAGAGACGACAGACAGGCAGACGACAAACGAGAGATTTTTCTCTGATGCGCTTTGAAGGGTATCATCTGCATTTCACATTTACACTGAATCCTTGCCACCACCCCCCGCAAACAAACCTGCTACCATTCCATTTCACAACACTGGACTGAAAATTAGGTATTGGCTTCACCAGGTTGTCTGCTAGCAATTATCCTGCTACTGAAAACTGGGTCTGCCTCTGAAATCAAGGGTCTTGCCACTGAGGGATACTGGCGTTTAGATTTTGGAGCTACTCATTGGTGGAAATTAGAGCCAGCGAGTTTGTTTGCTGGCGGGGTCTCGAAAGCTCGCAAGGAGAGGGAAATAATGAAGTGCTATTCCAAAGTCTGCCTCTAAGTAACAACTTACACAGGACGGCTTAGGTGTAGTAGTAGCTGTGACAGAGAAAGAAAGAGAATGCAAACGATTAACTTTTGTTTGGAACATCTGCTATGACATTTTGGGAAAGGTGATGCATAACATCGAACTTCGTGAACTACATAACTAGGTTACAGACATGCAAAGCTTGCCTATAGGATATTTTAATCTCAAGACTTCAAATGTACAAACCGATGGGCTGGTTCTAGAAAACGTTTCCACGATCCACCCAATAAACCCAACTGTGACAATACAATAGCATTAAGGCTTCACGCGTCTGACTGTGGGTAGAACTGGCTGAACATTCACACAAGCCAGAAATGTCATAAGGTCTTCATTCCTTGTTAATGTTCAAGTAGATTTATTATATCATAATCCCATAGAATGATGTTTATACTTTAAATAAATAAGATGATAGGCAAGGGCTGCTTCATTCTCTAGTTTCACTGTTGTATGCTCGGTGCACACCAAGGCAATGAACTGCTCTCTCAACAAATTGAGGAGCATCTTCTGTTGAGTTTATGTTTTCAGCCGAGAACTAGGGGACAATTCCTCGTGGACACTCATTAGAGATCTCTGCTAATCTTGCTTTGGTGCGGAAGAGTGTGAGGGAGCACGAGGCCTTGCGGCTCTTCCTTCTCTCACTGACCCACAACGTCTCCATCGCTGTGGCCGCCCCTCAAGGCCTTCTTTCCCCCCTCCCTGCCCTCTGGCTGCTGGACGGAACTCTGCCGTCAGCCCTCTGCCACTCACCGCTTGGAGCAGAGAGCCCCTGGATGGAGTCTTCTTTTCCAGCCACTACCTAACCGCTCTTAGCAAAAGGAGCCCGGTGACTGGGGTATTTCCCGGACATGTTTTCACCACCCACACGGGACTCCTGGAGGTGCTGCTGCCACAGCACGAGGGTGGTGGCGGCAACCTGCATCCTGCCCTCGTCAACTGCTGCGCTGCTAAGTATCAAGAAAACCTGACAGCCGTTCCGTGGCCCTCGGACTAGAGCCCCTCACGGGAACTTCTCAGCAAGGCCCGGCGGCGCAGGGGCAGGGGAGGACCCCGGGTGAGCAGGCCCGGAGGGGCAGGGGGGGTGGGGGCGTGGTGGTGGTTGCGTGACTGAGGGTGAGCTGTCACCTATGGCGTGGTGCAAGGCCAGTGCCCGCTGCGGCTCAGAGTGGAGGATGCGGTGGAGAGAGCTTGGATCTGCAAGGAAACGAACAGAAGATCAATGTTAATGAGCTGTCGTCTCGAAGGCGACGGGGAATCCCTGATGGAACCTTCGCTTTGCTTTTCGACTTGGCACTTGCTTCATCTCTGGAGACCGTGAAGCGACCAAAGGTCTATCTACAAATGGCCCGTGGAGATGACCATATCTGAAGCGACTTCAACTAAACCACCACAGAGCGAACTCTGTCTCAAAAAAAAAAAAATACAAAAGTTCATGGCAAAAAGAATAGATAATTAGACTCTAATGTCCTTAGCCCTGGGATCAAATCCCACACCTTCAACCTCCTGGCTGATTACAGAAACAATGGCTAATGCTCCCAAGTTTCATTTTCCCCTCTGTAAAATGATACAGTACTGACTCCATAGGATGATGTGAGGACTGGATGCGTGAACAGTCTGGTGTGCAATGAGCGAACAAAAGCTTAATTGTCAACCCTCAGCTGCCGAAACTGATGAAGCCGTGGAAGTCGAAGGGAAACTTAATTCTTTGGTACGATTTCTTACCTGTCGTGTGAGTCTTCCTAAACTACTCCGTCCCTTTCGATTAAACTCTCCTTAGTTTCGGACACTGATAGGGTAAATTAAGCTTTGTACACTCATGCACACCAGACTGTTCACGCATCCAGTCCTCACATCATCCTATGGAGTCAGTACTGTTATCATTTTACAGAGGGAAACTGAAACTTGGGAAGCATAGCCATTTGTTCTATAATCAGCCAGGAGGTTGAAGGTGTGGATTGATCCAGGGCTAAAGGCATAGAGTCTTTATCTATTCTTCTTTGCCATGATTTGTAATTTTTTTTTTTTGAGACGAGTCTCACTCTGTCACCCTGGGTAGAGTGCCGTGGCGTCAGCCTAGCTCACGGCAACCTCAAACTCCTGGACTCAGGCGATCCTCGCCTCAGCCTCCCGAGTAGCTGGGACTACAGGTGTCACTGCAGGATGCCGGTAACTTTTCTATTTTAATAGAGACTTTTTTTCTATTTTCAGTAGAGACGGAGGGTTTCACTCTTGTTCAGCTGGTCTCCACTCCTGAGCTCAAGCGATCTCCTCCCTTCGGCCTCCCAGAGCGCCAGCATTACTGCAGAGACCCGTGCGCGGACCTTGTATATATATCATACAATAAAATATGTCTAGAAAAAAAAACTTACTGGAAAGTTCTTTTGCCTACTTCAGTATTAAGGTGTAAAATTATAAAATAGGAAACCTGCAATAATATTTTCATGAGATTATTTTAAAAAGCTGCATTAAAGTGTGGAGTTTCCATTTCCTTATCCACAGCGGAACAGCTAAGGAGCGTGGCCGGACCTGAGGAGGGTTGGAGGTGCGTGCAGGTGAGGCAGCAGAGCTGTCGAGTCAGGGCTGGGGGCGGCTATGGGTGGCAAAGTTGTGGCTTCCGGGAGTGCGGCTGTGCTCCTCTCTCCTGAGACACCTGCAATCACAAGGGCCACCGTGAGCCCCGCACTCTCCCGCCCACACATGCAGTGGCCACCCCGGCAGCACGCGCCAACACGTGACTTAAGCTAAGGCGGAGGGACACGCATGCAAGCCTCCTGCTGTACCACAGAACATGCATTTTACAAAACTGCATAAAACACCCAGGCTTGCGAGAAGACGAGTTTAGGGCAGACAACCGGAGACCTGTGCAGCTCAGCGATCAGAGCACAACTGCAAAAAAATGTTGGGGCTTCAGCTTGGACAGCCCGAGAACCGAGCCTCCTGGCTGCGGGCTGGCTCAGGCGACATTAAAAATGCATCAAAACGTGGAGATTGGGGAGGCTGTCTTGGTGGTGCTGAGACAGCGGGCGGAAGCGAGACTCTGAGCGAGAGAGGCTGCCCTAAGGCTGCAGGGAGGAAGTGCCACCCACCGGCACGGGCCGTGAGCCCGGCACGCCTGCCCTCTGCCCTCTCGTGGGAGGCGTCCCGGGTGCAGGTGCTCAGTTTCCGTTTCTTAAAATAGAGCTGAACGGGCTTCTGCCCGCCAGCAGCTGAGTCAGATTTTTTTTTTCCTTTCCAGCTGAAGGTTACCGTTCTACTTTCACTACGCAGGCCCCCTTGCCGGGGAATCACCTGGCTTGGAACCAGCAACGCCACTTCCAGACAGCCCCAGTCTCTTGCTTTCCAGGCGCGCAGGTGAGCTAACTGGCTAGAATCTGGCGTCGTGAGGAAGGAACTGAGCACCGCAGCGCAGTGAGGACTTTGCGTCGCCAGGCTCCAGAGCACTGATGCGTGCTGCGTCTCCCCGACATCAGCCCAGAATCACACCACAGACTCGGCCGGCGCCTCCTAGGCGACTGGCGACCGTGCTGGTCGCCACGGAAAAGCAGGAGAAATACGCAGGTAGCCTTCACGCAAGAGCCTGTTGGAGACCTCACCGTCAAGATCCCTGCCGTGTGCGCTCTGAACACGGCTCTGACGGGAGTCGTGGTGCGGGTTCTTCCGCGACACACGAGTGCGGTCTTAACTCACGCATACTTCCCATAGAATTGGAATCTCCTTAAAAAAAACCCTGAGTTTGGTTCCTATTTCGGTCTTTAAAGCCACTAAACCATAAAATGTATCTAAACTATGGAATAGAATGGAGACACAGACACCAGTTCTTCGGTTCTGGGTCGCCAGAGGAAGGCTCAACAGAGCAAGGAGAAGATAGGGAGATCTGTTTATCCTTAAAAAATTCATTTCGGCATAGAACTGGCCCTTCCACAGAGCTTCAAAGCAGCGGATTCATCTTCAGCCTTCTGAACCTTCTTCTTTCCTCTTCTCTCTTAGCTCCTTCTCCTCTTCCTCCTGCAAGCGAGCCCTCCTGCCTTTCCGTGGCTCCCACTCCCCCTCCCAAATCCCAGTTTCTCTCCTCATGCGAAATCTACTTTCCCTTGTTACGTACGTCTCTCAGCGCCGGCTGAGTGAGTGGCAGTTTTCAATTTTAATTCGAGTGATTAATCCTAAAGGTTTTAATTAGTGGAGTTAGCCACTGTGAGGGAGGCGAACTCCTTGATCAGGGCAGGGCAGACTGGTTTGTGTGGAACCCAGACCCTACGGGGCCATCCTCTTTCCTTCGTCTGCAAGCCTCTGCCCTCCTCAACTCCTGAATCTCCGAATTCGCTGAAAGCGGCAATCTTTTGACCGCAGGTGGTTCCTGGGCAGCTGGAGGAGTAGAGTGAGGCAGGAGGTGGGGCAGCTTTCCCCCAGCGAGTGGATTGCCTGGAGTGATGTTTGCACTAGGAACAGTTTGAAGCTTCAGAATAACAATTATTCTATTTGATACCTTTGACTTCCTTGTTTGAGTCACGCCTAAACCGAAACCCGTTTTCCTGCTAGCCAACACAGGCCACCTATTTCACTCACCCCTGCCCCCGGCGGGAATGACACCACCCCAGGTTTGCGGGTCCCTTAGGCCTGTGTAGATGCGAAGAGTGCAAATATGACAACTGCCTGTAGTTAAGAGTGGTGTGTGGAAATCCAACCGCTTGCTCTGTGTGTTAGAATGTGATAGCTGATGAGTTTGGAATTTTGCAGGTACTCTTAGGATGTGAAACCGTGTAACCAAGTTCCTTTTAACGGAGATTGAGCGAGTAACAAAAACTGTGACTGCAGCAAAAATTTGCTAAGGGGGAAAGAGTTGTTCGGGACGCTCTATACGTTTATATTTCGAGCAATGATCATGGTATAGTGAAAACTTCTTTTAGCTAGTCATAAAAATAATATACATAAATCTTTGCTTTAAGACTTCATACCAACAAACAAAACGATGGAGAGTAGATGACTCCCATCATCAATGCAGAGCACTGAGACATTGTAACCAGGACGAAATTGCTTTTTAAAGAATGAGAAGAAAGAGTGAATAGATGCTAATTATTTCTCACGCAGACGTCGAGATTCTTTCAGCTTAGCATCTCCTGAGTTTATAGCGATGCAAAATATTCCCTCCCTTGACTTTCCAAAGTCAGAATCTAAGTCACTTCAGGGTGCCCCCTCCCCTTTTTTTTTTCCTTATGCGGGAAAAACAACGACGTCCTTTCTCAGATCGCAGATCCACACAGTCAGGTGTATACCTGCAGCAACTCGAGTGCCAAGGTATTAATAGGTGGGCCTGTGTGGCTAGCAGGAAAACGGTCTCGGTTTAGGCATGACTCAAACAAGGAAGTCAAAGGTATCAAATAGAATAACTGTTATTCTGAAGCATTCAAACTGTTCCTAGGTGCAAACATCACTCCAGGCAATCCACTCGCTGGGGGAAGAGCTGCCCCCACCTCCTGCCTCACTCTACCTCCTCCAGCTACCCAGGAACCACCGACGGTCAAAAGATTTGCCGCTTTCAGCGAATTCGGAGATTCAGGAGTTGAGGAGGGGCAGAGGCTTGCAGACGAAGGAAAGAGGATGGGCCCGTAGGGTCTGGTTGCCACACAAACCAGTCTGCCCTGCCCTGATCAAGGAGTTCGCCCTCCCTCACAGTGGCTAACTCCACTAATTAAAAACCTATTAGGATTAATCACTCGAATTAAAATTGAAAACTGCCGCTCACTCAGCCGGCGCTGAGAGACGTACGTAACAAGGGAAAGTAGATTTCGCATGAGGAGAGAAACTGGGGGATTTGGGGAGGGGGAGAGTGGGAGCCACGGAAAGGCAGGAGGGCTCAGCTTGCAGGAGGAAGGGAAGAGGAGAAGGAGCTAGAGAGAGAAGAGGAAAGAAGAAGGTGTCAGAAGGCTGAAGATGAATCCGGCTGCTTTGAAGCTCTGTGGAAGGGCCAGTTCTATGCCGAAATGAATTTTTTAAAGGATAAACAGATCTCCCTACTCTTCTCCTTGCTCTGTTGGAGCCTTCCTCTGGCGACCCAGAACCGAAGAACTGGTGTCTGTGTTCTCCATTCTATTCCATAGTTTAGATAAATTTTATGGTTTAGTGGCTTTTAAAGACCGAAATAGGAACCCAAACTCAGGGTTTTTTTTTTTAAGGAGATTCCAATTCTATGAGAACGTAGGCGTGAAGTTACAGACTGCACTTCGTGTGTCGCGGGAAGAAGCCCGCACCACGACTCCCGTCAGAGCCGTGTTCAGAGCGCACACGGCAGGGATCTTGACGGTGAGGTCTCCAGACAGGCTCTTGCATGAAGGCTACCCCGTATTTCTCCTGCTTTTTCCGTGGCGACCAGCACGGCGCCAGTCGCCTAGGAGGCGCCGGCCGAGTGCCTGTGCTGTGATTCTGGGCTTGATGTCGGGGGGAGACGCAGCACGCATCAGGTGCTCTGGAGCCTGGCGACGCAAAGTCCTCACTGCGTGCGGTGCTCAGTTCCTTCCCTCACGACGCCAGATTCTAGGCCAGTTAGCTCACCTGCGCACCTGGAAAGCAAGAGACTGGGGTCCGTCTGGAAGTGGCGTTTGCTGGTTCCAAGCCAGGTGGATTTCCCCCGGCAAGGGGGCCTGCGTAGTGAAAGTAGAATGGTAACCTTCAGCTGGAAAGGAAAAAAAAAAAATCTGAGCTCAGCTGCTGTGCGGGCAGAAGCCCGTTCAGCTCTATTTTAAGAAAATGGAAAGTGAGCACCTGCACCCGGGGACGCCTCCCCAGAGAGGTGCAGAGGGCAGGCGTGCCGGGGGCTCACGGCCCGTGCCCGGTGGGTGGCACTTCCTCCCCTGCCAGCCTTAGGGCAGCCTCTCTCGCTCAGAGTCTCGCTTCCGCCCACGTGGTCTCAGCACCACCAAGACAGCCCTCCCCAATCTCCACGGTTTTGATGCATTTTTAATGTCGCCTGAGGCAGCCCGCAGCCGGGAGGCTCGGTCTCCTCGGGCTGTCCAAGCTGAAGCCCCAACCATTTTTTTTGCAGTTGTGCTCTGATCGCTGAGCTGCACAGGTCTCCGGTTGTCTGCCCCTAAACTCGTCTTTCTCGCAAGCCCGGGTGTTTTTAGTGCAGTTTTGTAAAATGCATGTTCTGTGGTACAGCAGGAGTGCTTGCATGCGTGTCCCTCCGCCTTAGCTTAAGTCACCGTGTTGGCGCGTGCTGCCCGGGGTGGCCACTGCCATGTGTGGCGGGAGGGAGTGGCGGGGCTCACGGTGGCCCTTGTGATTGCAGGTGTCTCAGGAGGGCTCACGGTGGCCCTTGTGATTGCAGGTGTCTCAGGAGAGAGGAGCACAGCCGGCACCTTCCCGGAAGCCACAACTTTGCCACCCGTAGCCGCCCCCAGCCCTGCACTCGACAGCTCTGCTGCCTCACCTGCACGCACCTCCAACACCTCCTCAGGTCCGGCCACGCTGCCCTTAGCTGTCTCCAGCTGTGGATAAGGAAATGGAAACTCCACACTTTAATGCAGCTTTTTAAAAAATCTCATGACAAATATTATTTGCAGGTTTCCTATTTTATAATTTTTTACACCTTAATACTGAATTAGGCAAAAGGAACTTTCCAGTAAGTTTTTTTTTTTCTAGACATATTTTATTGTATGAGTAATATTATACAGGTCCGCGCACGGCGTCTCATGCCAGTAATGCTGGCGCTCTGGGAGGCCGAGGGAGGAGGATCGCTTGAGCTCAGGAGTTGGAGACCAGCCTGAACAAGAGTGAAACCCTCCGTCTCTACTGAAAATAGAAAAAAATAGTCTCTATTAAAAATAGAAAAGTTAGCCGGGCATCCTGGCGGTGAGCACCTGTAGTCCCAGCTACTCGGGAGGCTGAGGCAGGAGGATCGCCTGAGTCCAGGAGTTTGAGGTTGCCGTGAGCTAGGCTGACGCCACGGCACTCTACCCAGGGTGACAGAGTGAGACTCTGTCTCAAAAAAAAAAAATTACAAAAGTTCATGGCAAAGAAGAATAGATAATAGACTCTAATGTCCTTTAGCCCTGGGATCAAATCCCACACCTTCAACCTCCTGGCTGATTATAGAACAAATGGCTAATGCTTCCCAAGTTTCAGTTTTCCCCTCTGTAAAAATGATACAGTACTGACTCCATAGGATGATGTGAGGACTGGATGCGTGAACAGTCTGGTGTGCAATGAGTAGTACAAAAGCTTAATTGTCACCCCTATCAGTGTCCGAAACTAAGGAGAGTTGTAATCGAAAGGGAACGGAGCAGTTTTAGGAAGACTCACACGACAGGTAGGAATCGTACCAAAGAATTAAGTTTCCCTTCGACTTCCCCGGTGGTTTAGTTGGAAGTCGCTTCAGATATGGTTATCTCCCGGGGCCATTTGTAGATAGACCTTTGGTTCGCTTCACGGTCTCCAGAGATGAAGCAAGTGCCAAGTCGAAAAGCAAAGCGAAGGTTCCATCAGGGAATTCCCCTCGCCCTTCGAGACGACAAGCTCATTAACATTGATTCTTCTGTTCGTTTCCTTGCAGATGCCCAGCTTCTCTCCACCGCATCCTCCACTCTGAGCCCTGCAGCGGGCACTGGCCTTGCAACCACAGCCATAGGTGACAGCCTCACCCTCAGTCACGCAACCACACCACGCCCCCCACCCCCACCCTTGCCCCGTGCCGGGGCCTGCTCACCCCGGGGTCCTCCCCCTGCCCTGCCGCCGGGCCCCTTGCCTGGAGAAGTTCCGTGAGGGGCTCTAGTCCCGAGGGCCACGGAACGGCTGTCAGGTGTTTCTTGATACTTAGCAGCGCAGCAGTTGACGAGGGCAGGATGCAGGGTTGCCGCCATCACCCCTCGTGCTGTGGCAGCAGCACCTCCCAGGAGTCCCGTGTGGGTGGTGAAAACATGTCCGGGAAATACCCCAGTCTACCAGGGCTCCTTTTGCTAAGAGCGGGGTTAGGTAGTGGCGTGGAAAAGAAAGACTCCATCCAGGGGGCTCTCTGCTCCAAGCGGTGAGTGGCAGAGGGCTGACCGCAGAGTTCCCGTCCAGCAGCCAGAGGGCAGGGAGGGGGGGAAAGAAGGGGCCTTGAGGGGCCGGCCACAGCGATGGAGACGTCTGTGGGTCAGTGAGAGAAGGAAGAGCCGGCAAGGGCCTCGTGCTCCCTCACACTCTTCCGCACCCAAAGCAAGATTAGCAGAGATCTCTAATGAGTGTCTACGAGGCACATTGTCCCCTAGTTCTGCGGCTAAAAACATAAACTCAACAGAAGATGCTCCTCAATTTGTTGAGAGAGCAGTTCATTGCCCTTGGTGTGCACCGAGCATACAACAGTGAAACTAGAGAATGAAGCAGCCCTTGCCTATCATCTTAGTTTTATTTTTAAAGTATAAACATCATTCTATGGGGATTATGATTATATAAATCTACTTCGAGATTAACCAAGGGAATGAGGACCTTTATGACATTTCTGGCTTGTGTGAATGTTCAGCCGTAGTTCCACCCCACAGTCAGACGCGTGAAGCCTTAATGCTATTGTTATTGTCACAGTTGGGTTTATTGGGTGGATCCGTGGAAACGTTTTCTAGAACCAGCCCATCGGTTTGTGACATTTGAAGTCTTGAGATTAAAATATCCGTACTAGGCAAGCTTTGCATTGTCTGTTAAACCTAGTTATGTAGTTCACGAAGTTGCGATGTTATGCATCACCTTTTCCCAAAATGTCATAGCAGATGTTCCAAAACAAAACGTTAATCGTTTGCATTCTCTTTCTTTTCTCTGTCACAGCTACTACTACACCTAAGCCGTCCTGTGGTAAGTTTGTTACTTAGAGGCAGACTTTGGAATAGCACTTCGATTATTTCCCTCTCCGTTGTGAGCTTTCGAGACCCGCCAGCAAACTAAACTCGCTGGCTCTAATTTCTCACCAATGAGTAGCTCCAAATCTTAAACGCCAGTATCCCTCAGTGGCAAGAACCCTTGATTTCAGAGGCAGACCCAGTTTTCAGTAGCAGGATTAAAAATTGCTAGCTAGACAACTCTGGTGAAGCCAATACCTAATTTCAGTCCAGGTGTTTGTGAAATGGAATGGTAGCAGGTTTGTTTGGCGGGGGGTGGTGGGCAAGGATTCAGTGTAAATGTGAAATGCAGATGACACCCTTCAAAGCGCATCAGGAAGAGAAATCTCTCTGTTTTTGTCCGTCTGCCTGTCTGTCTGTCTCTCTTTCTCTGCCTTGCCAGGGGCTGGCTCGAAGCAGATGCTTGGGAATCCATTCTTTTCCGAATTTTCTTGCTCTCTTCTCACTGGAAACAAAGTGCTTCCTCTTGGTCAGGATTTTTCCCGCCGTTTATTTCTAAATCTCACCACTGAACTCCCTGCCTCCTTGTATTTAGTATAAAGATCTGCCTTCGTGTGTTTGTTTAGTTAATATGATCTTTAGAATCTGGCTCCATCCACCTCTGCCCCTTATACTCTTCGCGTTAAGTGATATACTTACCGTTTTCAGTTTTCTGAACACACACTCTTCCCACCCCCATGCCTGGTTTTTTTCTATTTCTTGCTCTCGTTTTAAAACACAAACTGGGTCACTTTCTCTGGAAATCCTCCCCTACCCCTCCAACCTGAATCTCTCTCTCTCTCTCTCTCTCTCTCTCTCTCTCTCTCTTTCTCTCTCTCGTCACTCTCTCATGATTTTGTGCATGATCTTATTTTAGTTCTTTGCAGGTCTCCTGCAATTCATGCCTGTGTTTGTGTCCACATTGGACTGTGTGTTTCTATACGCTGACCCTGTGTGACTTGCCTTTGTATTCCTAGTGTTTGAGATTGTTCCTTAAACATGATCAGGGCTTGATGATTTTTGTCAGCTAAAATTGGGTGAATAAATTAGTATTGGTTGCAAAGGTATTTTTATCAGTCGACAGAAATTGTTGACACTAAAGAAAGGTATTTAGGAGACTATGGATGATAATTTTACATAATTAAAGGGATGAACGAGGGCCTGTGGTCTCTGAATAATTTATGTTCCACATATTTGGAGAAACAGATGATTAATAACTACATTTTTAAAAACAAGGGAACTTATAAAGGAAGAAGAAGAAATTTTCAGACGCATCATTCATTTGTATATTGATTCAGCAAGTAATTATTGAATTCATATTAATGACATATATTATGCATAGACTTGGATTTATGGCAATAATCACAATAGAGTGGAGTTTGCTCTCATGGGATTTACAGTTCAGTTGGGAAGACAGACATTTAACAATAATCGTCCAAACATAAATTTACAAGCTGAGGTCCTTACCTAAAGGCAATTATGAAAGAATGATGTGGAGGCAACTAATATGTTTCTTCTATTTTTTATGTTCCTGGGAGGTTTTTGTTTTGTTAGTGATTTGATATTTTTTGAAAATATATGTTAAGGGATTTCCATTTAATGTAGTTTTCTTCAGTTTGAAAAAAAAAGAGATAATCATCACTGTTTCGTTTTCTTTCAGAGGAAAAATACGCAAGCATCCCTGTGGATTACTTGTACAACAACGAAACTAAACGTTTTAGTGCAAAGCTAAATGTTAGTAGTGATGAAGTGAAATGTGAGCCTGATTGTGCAAACAAGGAGTTTTCTAACCTAGAAGAATGTAGTACCACCAGTGTTAATATAAGTGATGACTCATGTGCCCCACCTAAAGTGTTAGAATTATATGTACCACCAGGTAAATCTGTTTATTTCTGTTTGTATACTTACAAAAACTGATTTCAGGTGTGGTGTGGTCTAGCCACAAGAACTAGTGTGGTGTGAGAACAGGGCTGAGGGAAAAGAAGTCAACTGTACACAAGTGGGTGAACTTTCCTGCTCTCCCAGCCAAGCAAAAATTGTAAAGCCATATAAGCCTTCTGTTTACATCCATTAGTCATGCCTCCTACTTCTTTAACAGAGAAGTCCAGGTAGAGGAGATATAGTTTATCTTGCTAAGGAATTGTCTGTAAGATTTTGTTTTCTCCTCTGCTTAATTGAAGTCATTCAGTACATATGTGCATGTGCTTATGAAGTGCAAATTTGTCTGGAATATATAAGGGAAAGACATAAAGTTAAGGATTTGACATTCATGGGAAGAACCAAAACACTCTCACAAAACAAGGGGAAGACTATAGTTATGTTAAGGAGATCAAGCTGGTTTTGCCAAATAAGCTACCTACCACTGGGAAAGAGAAGGGAGGAAACCTTTCTTAGCAAAATGCATTTTGGAAAAGGGACTCACAGGCTGTGTAATTTTAAAAAATATGTCACATCATTTAATAATTCTGGATTACTAATCAATTTATTCACATGTACATGTTACTACTAATGAAATCTTAGGATAATATTATTCAATTAAGAATCAATGAGTAAACACAAAATTGAAGATAGAAGCAAAAATATAAAGTGGAATGAACGTTTGAAATACGTAAAATTTGCAATTTTATCTGTATGTTTGATTGAGTTTCATTTTTAAAAGTAGCATAAATCTAAGTGAAACACCATCAAAATATATGTCATTGAAAAATTATAAACTAAATAATCAAAAAACACTGAACCTTGAGAGTTATCAGGCTTTTACAAAAGTAATCTTAATGCTTGACAAATTATTGACAAATTCTATGTTAATTAATATAATTCCAGTGACTTTAATTGAGAATATGGCACACATTATAAAATATTAATGAAGTCTCTTTCTGCATCTTTTCGACAGAGCCTGAAAAGTTTGAATTAGTTGATTGTACGCAGCCGGAAAAAGCAGATACTACTATTTGTTTAAAATGGGACATAACTGAAAACTTTAATTGTGATCTAAATAATATTACATATAAATTTAAATGTGGTAAGAATATAACATTTATTAGATAACTTTTTGTGGTAGGAAGCTGTTCTAGAAGCTGTTGTTTCATTTTCTTTCTCTCTCTCTGCCTCCTCTTGTCTCTTTCTTTCTTGTCTTTTCTTTTTCTTTTTTGGTCTGTGGCATATTTGGAGTCAAATTATTGAATTATTGGATTGTCTATACCATTCAAACAAATTCACAAAATAGAAAAATACTCCCCCTGAAGAATAAATACTGAAAAATTGAAAGTCTATTAATTTACAAGAATTTTCTTGGCAATTGTTATACACAAGGCATTTTTGAAGAGATTACGAGAGAAGGGTGTTATAAAAGAGCGATACTATACATATTCTGATAGAAAGAAAGGAAAACAAATATAAGATTATTTGGTTCAAGAGTTTACTTTGTCGGCTGGGTGTGGTGGCTCACACCTGTAATCCTACCACTCTGGGAGGCTGAGACAGGTGGATCGTTTGAGCTCAGGAGTTCAAGACCAGCTCAAGCAAGAGCGAGACCAGTCTCTACTAAAAAAATAGAAAGCAATTAGCTGGGCAACTAAAAATATATAGAAAAAATTATCCGGGCATGGTGGCACATGCCTGTAATCCCAGTTACTCGGGAGGCTGAGGAAGGATGATTGCTTGAGCCCAGGAGCTTGAGGTTGCTGTGAGCTAGGCTGATGCCACTGCACTCAAGCCAGGTGACAGAGTGAGATTCTGTCTCAAAAAAAAAAAAGAACTTACCTTGTCAGTCCTCTATCAACAAAATTCATGCACGAGTCCAAGAACCCTTAGATAACAAGAAAGAAAAAGAACTGCAAGTTCTTCTAGGAATAAGATTGAGTTTGAATTCAGGTCAACAATAATTGAGATAGCATTTCTTTTTAGGTGTATTTGAATTTAATGAGATGGAATTTCCTACCCCCTGGCATAAAGCCATCTATCTGCTGGATCGTATTTGACAAGACAGATGTGTGCACACACAGAATGGCATGTATCATCATGTAATAACCATAGCATACATGTGTGCCTACCATGCAAATAGTATGAGGACAGCAAGAACAACATATGACAGACTGATGATGAAAAAAAGATCTGTTCTAGAAAAATCTTTTAGGCAAATGCCTAGGTGCAATCTCAGTTTCTGAACAGTGATTAATGAGCCAATGCCTCATTTTATCAGTTAAATTAGGGATGTTCTTAAGTTATGCTTTCTGTATACAGGCTGAGCATTCCTAATCCTAAAATCTGAAATTTGAAATGTTCCAAAATCCAAAACATTTTGAGTATTGACGTGATGCTACAAGTGGAAAATTCCACACCTGGCCTCAGTGGGACAGGTCACAGTCAAAATGCCAGCACAAGACACATGGTTTACTCATTGCCCCCAAGGGAAAAATAAAATTGCCTCAGGCTGTGTCTATAAGGTATGGATGAGACACAAGTGATTTATGTGTATGGACTTGTATGCCATCCCCAAGATATGTCATTATGTATATGGAGATATTATAAAATCCAAAAAAATCTGAAATCCAAAACGCTTCTAGTCCCCAACATTTTGGATAAGGGATACTCAGCAAGTATTTTTGTAAAAGTTCAGTCTTGACTTATTATTTTCATCATTTCTGTAGATTTCCAATCTAATAGATACTAAAAGTATTATAAATATGAAGTCAGAAAAAAGATTTACATGTGAAGTATTATATTAAGATACTCATATGCAATACTTATTTCTTTCAGGCAATTACACACATTCTGGTCCACAATGGGATTTATCAGGCCTTCAACCCAACCATACTTTTAGTTGTGATGCAGAAATATTTTATAATAACCATTGGAATATTACAAAAAAAACTACTGTTAAAACAGATCTTGGGGGTGAGTATATTTCTTACGTTTATGTGTAAAATTGCTTTCCCTTAATGCTCTTACAGTTCTTTGAGAATCACAAGAAATGATGGTATAAATTTAGAGGAAGGATTTCTGAAAACAAATTTCTATCCATTTTTGAAGTTGAGTTTAAAAATAAGTTACACACGGCCCAAACACCTGCCTTTTTTTCTTATTTTCTTCAAATCGTAGGCTGTTATGAGGTCATGTTGGAAACAAAACTGAAATAAATAAAATGTTGTGTTCACTCATGGTCCCTTTCTTCCTGTAGCATCCTTCCCTTTTTGATCTGCTCCTCTCCCAAATCCTGCCTCTGATAGAAGAAGTAACGTGAGCAAAGAAACTAATGAAGCCCAGTGGCACATCTAAATGTGGATGGGAAGATGGAAGAAAGTAGCGAAAAAGTGTTAGAATTCCAGTGCTGTTTAGAAAGACAGAGATTCCCATTAAATTTAGAATCTGTTAAAACTATATTAATTATACAAATGACGATTTATGAATAACCACTGGAAAAAAAAAGAGAAATAGATGGTGTTGCCTATAAGCAGTAGAAGGATATCATGACATTTAAAAATTCCACATATCACAGGAGGAAAAGAAGGTGGAGGATAAGGGGAGAAAGAAGTAAAAGAAGAAGAAAACAATAGGAGGGAGAGGAACAGAAGGAGAAGGAGAGAGAGATATTAAGTAGATAATAATGGGTGAGATAGAAGAAACATTTACAATCTATCAAAAGTTATAATAAATGTAAATGTGTTGCACATTTGGGTAAAGACCCATTTTTGGAGAATTTTGTAACCTTGGAAGTCATAGTTTAGAAGAAATTTTTATTACTCTGCTATCAACTGAATGAAAATCAACGGAAAGCACTTGGAAAACAAATGCAAGGATAGTAGAAGGGAGAAAATAACAAAGATTAGAGTATGCATTATTGAGGGAGAACAAACAAAAATCATAAGAATTTATCAACTGATCTAAAGGCGGGTCTTTGAAGAAAAATAATGAAATAGCCAGACATCTAACAAAATGACCCTATGGATTAAATAAGAGAAAGAGAACTAAAAAAATTATACAAATTCTAAAAATTATAAAACAACTTTGCATCCAATTTAAAAAGTTAGGTAAAAAGTTATCTAAAAAGTTAGTTGCCTAGAAGCTATGAATTATGAACATTTACCTAGGTAGAATTAGAAACGTGGAATTAAAATTATTTCGCGTATTTCTCTACCCACCTCACACGTATTATTTGCTTACTAAACACACCCTTATGAATGCATGAAGAGAAGGTAGTTTTACAAAGTTAGGCAAATAGTCAAAGAACAGATAATTCTTATCTTATCCAAACTATTCCACAGCATAGAGGACATGGAAACTTATTAACTTGTTTTGACTATTGTTAGAGTTTGGAATTGGATTAGAATCAATACAATGTGGACACAAAATTTGGCCAATGCTGGGGCAACTATAGGTCTGTCTCTTCTATGAACATACGAGCTAAATATTAATAGATAATGAAATATTGGCAAAGTGGATTTAAAAATATTATAACATTATTAGGGGTTACCCCAGTAATTCAGAAGCCCTCCAACCTTATACAAGAGCAGGTTAACCATTTTACATATCATTTCGATAGAGAAAGAAGGGAGATTTTTGAAAGACAACTGCAAAAGAAGCCACGGTTTTGTTTTTTTTTAAATTAATGAATCATTAATTCACATACCACACAATTCACCCATTTAAAATGTACAATTCAATGATTTTTAAAATATTTTTAGAGTTGTGCAGCCATCACCAGAATCAGTTTAAAACATTTTCATCACAGCCAAAGAAACCCTGCATCTGTTAGCAGTTACCCCCCATTTTCCCAGCACCACCCCCCAGCCCCCCACCCCACCACCCCACCACCACCACCCCCCATCTCTAGGCAGGCAACCACCAATTTACCTCTGTCTGCACGGATTTGCCTATTCTGGACATTTCATATAAATGGAATCACACAATATCTGACCTTTCATGGCGGGCTTCCTTCACTTAGCATCCTATTTTCAAGGTGTTTCTCTGCTGCGCTATGTATCCGTTCTTCATTTTTCATTGCTGAATAATATTTAGCAGTTGCATAGATACACCTTATTTTGTTTGTCCCTTTATAAGTTGAGTGACATTTAGTTTGCTTTCACTTTTTAGCTATTACGAATAACGCTGTTATGAACATTTGTGTGCAAGCTTTTTGTGTACACATTTTTATGCTCTCTCAGGTGTATGTCTGGGATTGCAAATTTTTGAGTCACTAGCAACTTTATGTTTTGCATTTTGAAAAACTGCCAATCTGTTTGCCAAAGTGAGTGCACCACTTCATACATTCGTCAGCAATGTGTGATGGTTCCAATTTGTCCACATTTTCATCAACACTTGTTTTTATCTACCTTTTTATTTTAATAATCCTAGGAGATCTGAAGGGCATCTCATTGTGGTTTAGATTTGCATTTCTCAGTGACTGATGGTGTTAAGTAGGCTTGTGTGTATTTATTGGCCATTTGCATATCTTTTATCTATTCAACTCCTTTGCATATTTTTAATTGGATGTTTTTATTCAGTTGTAGTTTTTTTTATATTCTAGACAAAAATCCCTTGTCAAATTTGCAAATATATCCTCCCATCTGTGAGTTGTCTTTTTACTTTCTTTGATACTTTTTGAAGCATGTAAGATTTTAATTTCGATGAAGTTCAATTTTTCTGTTTTTACTTTTGTTGTTTATGCTTTTGGTGTCATATAGAAAAATCCATTGCTAAGTCCAAGATCATTCATATTTATCCTTATGTCTCTTTCTAAGAATTTTATAGCTTTAGCCCTTAAATTTAGCTCTGTGGTCCACTTGGAGTCAATATTTGTATGTTGTGTTAGGTAATGGTCTGATTTCATTCTTTTACATGTGACTATCCAATTTTCCTAGCACCATTTGCTGAAAACACTGTTCTTTCCCCATTGAATGGTCCTACCACTCTTGTAAAAGATTACTTGGACACATGATGGGTTTATTTATGTACTTTCAGTTCTATTTCCTCGATATACATATCCTTATACCAGTGCCACATTGTTGATTACTGTTGCTTTGTAGTAAGTTTTGAAATTGAAAAGTGTGTGTCCTTCAAATTTGTTTTCTCTCTTCAGGATTGTTTAAATATCTGAGTGCCTTTGAAATTCCATAGGAATTTTAGGATCAAAGCTTCCGTTTCTACAAAGAAGCCAGCTTGGATTCTTACAGGGATTGCACTATAGCTATAGATCAATTGGGAGAATATTGCCATCTTAACAATTCTAGTCTGCATGAATATCAGGTGTTTTTCCACTAATTTAGGTCTTCATTAATTTATTTCCAAAATGTTTTCTACTTTTCAGTGCAAAAGTCTTGTACCTCTTTTGTTAAATTTACTCCTAGTTTCAATTTATTCTTGCTTATAATGGTGCTGTCTTCTTAATTTCATTTTCAGATTGCTCACTGTGAGTGCATATAAAAACAATTGATTTTTCTCTATTGATCTTGCAATCTGCCACATTGGTGAACTTGTTTATAAATTATAATACTGCAGGATTTTTGACAAAACATGTTAAAGTGATTCTAAATTTCATATAAAAATGTGAATAGCTGAGTACTAAAGGGGCTGCCTAAATCCATGTCTCCCATAATTCTCCAAAATAACATAAAGAAAGCTACAAGAAGAGCAAATAAACGGTGTCTTCAGCATAACTAGAAAAGTTTAATATATTTTGGATATCAAACACTATAATTATTCCAGTCTTTGTAAGTCAGTGTAATAAAATAGAAATACCAGCAAACTATTTTTTTATATATTTGATAAAAGCACAAAGCTATTTCAGTGGAGGAAAGAATAGTCTTTTCAACAAATGATCCTGGTATCCCTATAGAGAAAAGATGAACATCAGCCCTCACTTCTCAATGAACACAAAAATAAACTAAAAATATATATATGCATATTCCAGATCTAAACACTAAGCCTAAAGTTATAAAAATGTCCAATCAAAGACATAGAAGAATATCTGTATGCCTTAAGCAAAGATTTCTTAGGGCATGAAAAGCAAGAATCATAAAAGAAATAATTTCAATATATTGAAATTCATCAAAACTGAACAATCCTGGTCTTTGAATGGGACCATTAAAAAGAAATAAGAAGTACACCATAGGTTGTAAAAATATATCCCAATTAATTTTTCCAACACAGAAAGTTTTTCCAGAATATACAGAGGGCTTGTTCAGCTACAAAACCAAATGACTCAGTTAAAAGTGGGCAAACATTTCGAATATATACTTCACAAAAGAAGATACATAAGTGGCTAATAAGCACATCAAAAGATGTTCAACATCATTACTCACCTGAGAAATGCAAATTCAAACAACACCGATGTGATGATATTACCCGTCCACTAAAATGGCTAAACTTAAAAAGACTGATAATGCTAACTATTGGGGAGAATGTAAAAGTAATGACCCAGCTATTTCACTCTAGGTTTACCAAAAAGGAAAGAACAAGTCCATGTAAGGATAAAGAAGATTCATTCATCGTAGCCCCAAACCTGGAAACAACTCAAATGTCCATTAACAGTTGAGTCATAGACAAAATGTGTCATATCGTTACTATAACTACTTATGAATAAAAAGTGACTACTGACACATGCAGCAATGTGAATGAATCTTCAAAACATTATGTTGAAGGCAATGTGCTAGATGTAAAAAATATTATTGTTTTATTTGAGTCCTATGCAATGCATGAAAAGATAAATTTAATCTATATTAATAGAAAGCAGATTAGAGCAGGTGTGGGTTGAGCTGGGGGGGGTGGCTGAGGTAGTTGGAGACACAGAAGAACTTTCTGAGGTTATAGGAATTTTCTCTGTCTTGATTGCGGTGGTGGTTATACGGATGTATGCATTTGCCAAAACTCGTCAAACCGTATCTCTAAGGTTATCCGTATCTCGTACGTTTTATGTAAATATCCATTCTTCTCGCGTCCTAATGTCTAGATACTGGAAACCGGGACAATTGCTATTCAAATAATGACTGTTAAACTTATCAGTGTCACAAATGCCTGATTTCCGGCATAGTGAGATCTACGAATCCCAGGATATCTGGAGAATAGTATAAATGAGAGGAAGCGGGGGTTCCCGGGCATCTTTTAAGTCCCGGGAATGTTCAGGTTCCACAGCGACACTCTGGTGTGGTGTTTACTTTGTTAAAGTAGTTTACTCTAAAGCAAATTAAATAAGCCCACGTGTCTTCCTTTAAATGTCATTATCCATTTACAGTTAGTCAAACTACAGCCGTTAATAATACATGCTTGCAACATGGAGCACATTTTCTCCATGTCTTATTTTACATATTACATATTTTTACTCTTTTAACAGCTCCAAACGAGCCTCGGAATCTCACCTGTGATCCTGTAAGTGGTCACAAAAGCAGGGTTACCTGGAGTCCCCCTGAGGGTGTGTTTCATCATTTTACTCTTTGCTATCGGAACAAGACAGGTAATTTGTATAACATTTAATTTCATGCCAGGAAAGATAAATCTAGAATTTGAAAATACTAGAAATGTAGTTTGAGCCCTAGAGCTTCCTACGTAGAGGACTGTGGTGGGCATAATAATCTACACTCTGATTTCAGAACTGCTTTCCAGCCCTGGAAATGTCTCGGACTCAGAACATCCCCAATATCTGCTTGTCTTTCTTCATCTTAGTTCCCATCTCTGCACTCCAAAGCCTAGAAAAAGAAAGTCCCCGGAACATACTACTCATTTGCAAACTGCCTTTGCATGGCTTCTGTAAGAACACACTGTTTGTTTTTCTCTTTTCTGAATCTTCCACTCATACCTGTGTTGTATTCCTCGGTTTCTGTACTCTCTTGACTGCAGGGTGTTTTTTTTATGCCAGAGTATACAGTGGGAATTTGGTATGTTTACTGCTCCTTTGTAAGTTTTTAAAAAGAAACTGTATTTGCATAATTAGGGTAAGAAGGATGCAATGAGTTACTTATTAGCAGTCTGATGACTTTTATTTTGTTGTTTGTTTGTCTGCAACTAGCATGGCTCCTTATTTGTTACTCACGTTTAACAGCTATCCAAATATAATACTCGAGTGATACTGGAGGGGAAAGGGGGCAAGGGTGGGCAATAGCAGGCAGCGTGTGTATTTTTCTACACAACCGTCCACTGGAGGCTGACTCCAGCTTCATCCACATCATGTACTGACTCTGCCTAAAGTGCTCTCAGGAGCCAGCCCTACCCTATACGGAAATGTGCTTTGCTTTCGTTGTTTTCATGTATCGCAAACATGTGCCTTAATTCAATCCTCTGCCACTTTAGCTGAGTCAAAGAGAGTTGAAAGGATAAGAGCGTTGTTAAAGCAACTATTTTAACCAGTCTCATTATGTCAAATAAAATCACTATGAAAAGTCCACAAAAAAAAGTCTATGAAATTTGCAGTTCCTATTACTTTTTAACCAGATATTACATTTTTTTTTTAATTTCGTAATTTAGTTATTTCAGTGTCTCTGAAAGCCAGGAATTAGAAGGAGTAGGGAAAATGTCCTTGATGTTTATTTAGTAGCCTCAGTTTATCAAGTATCTTTAAAAATGTGTCATTTAAGGATTTTACTAAATAGCTTGGCAAGGGCTCTGAGAGGAGAGGTGTGTACATATCTTCGTAGTTCATAGGACGGAACTGAGGTAGGTTAGCAGAGTGACACGATAAATGTTCAAGTTCGACAGCTTAGAACTGTTTTCTTTCTGCTCCTGTGTTTTTCATTTTTTTAGCATATTCTCAGGGAACCGCAGTTTTGTGTCATTAACTTAAGAATGCCAAGCGACAGTGACACTTTCTTGATAATGAGGGGAGAGACCTTCTGTGCTTCATTGCATTCGGAGGATTATTTTTCAAAGGCTATTGAAACCAAATGTGCACCCTTGGAGGCCACAATGACATTGCTGGAAATTATTTTGTGTCATGCCTTTTTTTAAAGGGAAAAACTACTTTTTTTTTTGGTGATACAAAATCCTATGGGATAAACAGGTTTATACTATTTGAAATAGTATTCCAGAACACACTTTAGAGTCGTCTAAATTAGGAAATTGTTCACGCATTTCCTGAGGTATGTTCTAAAAACACAAGAGGTGACAAGTGGAGAAGCCGGTTTTCTCTTCAGGCATTTGCAGGGCTACAACGGGTGACTTGAACATCCGTCCCCCTTGCCCCCAAGGGAAAAAAACATTCAGGCATCTAGTCAAATAAATTCTTAATTTTTCCCATACAATTTGTGCTCTGATGCCAGAGTCTTCAGGGAAAAAAAAAAAAAGCATTTAAACACACAGAGGAGGAAAGATTGTTCATGTACTTGGGCTTTTTAACTAACGCTTGAAACTCCGAACAGTTTGGAAATGCACATTCCAAACCCCCTTTCTAAGCACCGAAAACTTTGATGAATTATGGCTTTAAAAGATAAAAAAAATGCCCAAACGTCCATACCTTTGAACGATGCATTGCTCAAAAATAAAGTCAACAATTGGACTTCTGTCAGATGGGCTAAGATGAAAGCTTCATAGAACCACGTAAACGACCTTCGCTTTGATGCAGAGCGGTGGTGAGATTACACGCGCAAACGTAAAGAATGAGGTCGCTGAGTGCAAGCAGGTTGCTCTTGGGGGCGACATCGGACGCTTGGATTTTATCTCAGTAACGAGCTGGGCGTTGTGCTAAGAGCCAGACCCACGAGGAGCTGGCAGAAGCCTTGGTCAGAGGATGGCCATGGCCCTGCCCTTGAGCTTACACCCATCCTGCCCTTGAAGGGAATTGTCCGTGGGGACGGTTGAAGACACTTGCAGAACGGAGCTGGCAAGTGCCCACCAACTCGCCCCGGCGTGGGGGTTTCTGAGAAATAGACGATTTTCATGAGGCTAAAACAGCCACTTTATTTATCTCCCTGACTATTCAGAATCCCCTGGCGAGGCAGAGAGATTGCTATAACTTCCACTGTGTAGACAAGTAGCAGCGATAAGAGATAAACGGTGCTAGATCTTTTCCTGCTCCGCCCCTGCCGGTCCCCACGCAAGACCAGCCGCACCAGAAAGGAGACGTAAAGCCAAGGCAAAGATAAAGCTCGCCCCCAACCCCCTGCCGGGGGTCCTTGTCTGTCTTCCCCACCGTACAGTGTGTAAAAAACGGCGAAGACTAGAAGGTGGGCTGTGGAACTCCAGTGCCTGGGTTCCGCCCTGGCTTCCTTCTTCCTTTCCCGTGGGGTCAGGGACAGATTGCTTCGTCTCCTGCAGCTCAGTTTTCTCACCTGCGAACTGGGGCAATGCCAGCAGTGCCAGGGGATGGCTGTGGTGACAGATTAACCTATTCATGTACAGTGCTTGACACACGGAGTGAGTCATTCGTTTCTTAAAAATCATTTTTGGTATGAGGATCGCGTGATCATCACCGATCATCATCGGCGTGACCTTGCTCTGGTAAAGTGACACACTGCCACTTGGATCTGCCTTTAACCCGTCCTTCCTGGCGTCACTTGGCTGCTCAAAAACAGTTAGTCGAGAGTGATTTTTTTTTTTTTTAATGTGTTAAACAGATGCTGATTTTCCTGCCTGAAGGTTAAGACAAATTTCAACGAGGTCCTGCCTCTTGGCCAGAAAACTACTGTCCTCGTCAGACTTTTTCTCTAAACTCAAAACCTTCCTTCTTTCCTTTGTGATGTTTTCTCTTCTCCCTTCCGCCTACTCAGTTTCCATCACCTTTCTGTGAACAGTTCAGATTCCAGAGCCGGCAAAGAGCTTTCCCTCGTTCTCACAGCCGCACGACTCGCTGTCGTGTTTACAGTAGTGTGGTAGAATAGACCCGGTCACTGGCAGTCGAAGGATTCCTCGAGGGAAGTCCAAAACAGTAGCTAACATCAACGTTCAAAATTTGAGGGTTTAGTACCAGACAGGGTTCACTAAAAAATGATCATTCTGAAGCATCACAACTTAAGACTTTTATAGTATCTATTGGGGGCTCTGGTTTCTCAGAAAGAAAAGGTATCATCTTTACAATGTGTCTGAACTTATCAAAAATTTTATGTACCAGATTAATCACAGGAAACCAAAATCATTGACCACTTGAGTTTATTGATAATAATTGAGTTTGTTCAATACCGTGTTTCCCCGAAAATATGACAGGGTCTTATATTTGTTTTTCCTCAAGAAGACACTCTAGGGCTTATTTTCAGGGGATATCTTATTATTTTTTAAGTACGGTACAGCAATCTACATGGACTCAAATATAGTTAAGTCGTCTTCTTCTGGAACATCATCATCACTCTCCAAAAACTGAATTCCATCCTGAATTTCTTACGACTCTATTTCCTTTAGAACCATTGGCCCCAATCTCTCATGTCGAGCCATAAAGCTCTCATGGGGCTGATGAGAAGGGCTGCTTGTCTTCTTTACCGCTCTGTGACAAAAAGTGCATGATTGTGCAGATGCGCTGCGTAGCCACGCCCGTCACTAGGTCTTATTTTCAGGGTAGGGCTTCTATTGCCCAAATGCTCAGAAATCCTGCTAGGGCTTATTTTATGGGTAGGTCTTATTTTCGGGGAAACACGGTACCATTTTGCTGATACTTGTATGTACTTCTGACGATCAAGGATCTATTAATACTTATTTCTCAATCATACATTACTTTGGAGTCTGCTTGGAATGACACCGTGCAGAGACCACATCAAATATGTGGCAATCCTGACTTCTGATGACTTACTAAATTTTCCCATTTTTTTTTTCTGAGAAGAAAGATGCTTCAATCTGGATGATACCGAGAACATACATTATTTGCAAGATTTGAAACCATACACACAATATCATGTGTCATTAAATGCCTACAACAAGGCAAAAGTGCAACGCAATGGGACTGCTGTCACCTGTGAATTTCGAACAAAGACATCACGTAAGTTCTTGAATGGCAAAAGGCAAAGCATGAATTTTTGTGGCCTAAAATACATCTAACTTTACGCTTCATTTGGAAAGCACGTTGACCTGGCACATTTGTTCATTGCTAGGCTTTATAACAGTTTAAAATAAAATAATTTAAAAACTGTTTGGCCAGGGGTGGTGGCTCACGCCTGTAATCCTAGCACTCTGGGAGGCCGAGGCGGGCAGATTGCTTGAGGTTAGGAGTTCGAAACCAGCCTGAGCAAGAGTAAGACCCCGTCTCTACTATAAATAGAAAGAATTTAATTGGCCAACTAAATATATATATATATGGAAAAAATTAGCCAGGCATGGTGGCGCATGCCTGTAGTCCCAGCTACTCGGGAGGCTGAGGCAGGAGGATCGCTTGAGCCCAGGAGTCTGAGGTTGCTGTGAGCTAGGCTGACGCCACGGCACTCTAGCCCGGGCAACAGAGTGAGACTCTGTCTCAAAATAAAATAAAATAAAATAAATAAAATAAAATAAAATAAAATAAAATAAAATAAAAACTGTTACCCTGGGTTCTCTGTATTCTTCATATATAGTCACAGAACTGTGAGGATGAAGCATGAGGGCATTTCCACTGGTGTGGTTTGCAAGATTTCAGGCAATTAAGTTCCTGGTCAATTTAGATTTAAAAAAAAAATGCATTGTCTGCTGTTGTCTTCATAATCTAGAAATATCACCCGCACCCACAGCCAGACGCCTAACAATGCCCCACAAAATATTCACTCACTGACCCTCTGTGCGCCGGATAAAACATTTTGTGGAATGTAATAGCATTTTCTTCCCTTTGTTACGCCGAACTACCTACGATTTTATTCTATGTCTCGTTTCCCAGCTGAGGTTTCCTTTCGGTGACATTTGGCTCTCGTCACCTGTATGTCTCCTAACTCTCCTTGCCCAAAGCTAGATCGGGCTCTAGGGTACAAGTCAAGGACAGGGAAGAAGGAGCACCCTGCGCTGGGGACCTTCCAGAGACCCTGGTGAGCAGCAAGCTCATGAAGAAATGTCCCCTTCAGAGATGAACAGAAAATATTCTTTTTTTTTTCCCCCCTGAGGGGGGTTGCAAGGAGAAGGAAAGGAAAGTGTATTAATTTGCTGGCAGATGAGGAGGCTGGCAGACTCCCGTCTCAAAGTACTAGTGTCCCGCTTCTGAGCAGGAGTACGGAGCTTTTAAAGGTTCTGGTTAATCCGGTCTTCACTAGGACAATCTCGAGACCTCCCCACCCCCCCATTAACCCCGTCTCCGGAAGAACGAAGAACAGAGGATGCTCCCGGCCCTGCTCCACCCCCTCCAAGCCGGGCGCAGGGATGCAGGTCCTAGTTCTCCCAGAGGAGTTGGAGGATGTCCTAAAAAGACATAAAACATTTCTGCCTTTTTTTTTTTTTTCCGCCCAAGGCATTTCTTAACGTCATTAGGTTCTGATTTAAAACGCCCAGGTCCTAGAGCTGGGTGCTTTTGTTGTTTCCTGAGTTTCTGTGCTGCCACAGAAAATAAAGACCGTGCATATCTGCTGCTCCTGGAGGGTCCTGAGGCCGTTCGCCAGGAGAGTGTGAGAACTTCGGGGACGGAGGGTCTGGACCGTCAGCATCACGGTCCCCCTTCGCACCTGCCCCCCCAGCTCCTGCTTCCCTGCCCCCCTCTCCTTTCCTTTATTCGCTACTTCTATACACTCTGCCTCAGGGATTGCACGGATGCTCACGGCTTCATGCTAATACTCACTGGATGGATAGGCGATTTTTTTTTTTCCAGATGCTTCAATGTAACTTTTTTTTTTTTTATTTAGGTGCTATCGTAATGACTTTATGATAGTACCTAAATAAAAAAGTGTTCCTCTCTGAACCAACGCTTAGAATGCTTCGTGCTGTGCACGTGAATTGCCAGGCGATATCAGCATGCATATCAGATGACTAAAATAACACATGTTTCTTCACTTCGACAGACCCGGGCCAAGTGCAGAAGGTGACTGTCAGCCAGACTTCAGACAACAGCATGCGGGTCATGTGCAAGGCTCCCCTTGACCTGAACGGTCCCCTCGAACGTTATCATTTGGAAGTCAGAGCTGGAGCTGCTTCGCTTCATAATTATGAACAAGGTGCCTGCGACTTCGATGTACAAGATCTTCACTATTCAACAGACTATGAGTTTAGGGTAAGGTTATCCTCTCTATCATACTGCCTATATACATTACAATGATTTTGTGAATTTTTCTTTTTTTTTTATGACATTGTGTTAGATAACGCCATAGTCATGATGCTATGTAAGACTTATTTATATGATGGATTATAGTGAAAGGTTTTCTGGTGCTAAACCATCCTTCCCACATTCTAAGAAAAAAAAAATCCTGCTCTGTCATGGTGCATTATTCTTTTAAAGTATTATTGTTGAAATCAGCAGCCTACTATTTTATTAAGTCTTTCTGAATGAGTATGCACCAACGAGATCATTTAATAGGTGGGTCATGGTGGTGTTGGCACAGGCATGGGGTCATCATTCTTATCACATTTTGGCATAAGCCAGGCATCCTCAAACTACGGCCCACGGGCCACATGCGGCCCGCTTAGGACATTTATCTGGCCCTGCCGGGTGTTTTTGCCGCAGCTGCCTGTCCTGCTTAGCAGCCGACTCGTCCCGGGCCCACAGTGCGCACTCTCCAACGGTCTGAGGGACAGTGACCTGGCCCCCTGTTTAAAAAGTTTGAGGACCCCTGGCATAAAGTTTATGTTGACGTGATAAAACACATCGGAGGTATTTTCCTGTTCTTCCATGTTATGTAACTTTAAATAGCATAGGGATGAGTTGTTCTCCAGGCAATTTGTTTGGTCCCTTTTGTGCAGAAGAATTCTTGGAGAAGCATTTGAATTTTCTTTCAATAGGATCAGTCTTGTCAGATATTTTATATCCTTTGGAGTCAGCATGTCACTCACATATTTTTTTCGAAGACTTGTGCATGTAAAAAGCTATTTTGTTATTGCCGTAGCGTTGTATAATTATCCTTTCTTCCCACGACTTCTCCATCGCCCTGAGGTTCCCGGCAGGCTGGTTTCTTTTCAGTTTCTCAAACGCACCGAGAGATTTTTGCTCCTCTTAGGCAACTCTCTGCAGGCTCTTCTCTCTTCTTAGAATACTCTTCTCCTGCTCTTCACACATTATAAGTTTTTCTGTTAAAATATAGGTGGCCGTGGTATTAAAACAAAGTCTTAAAATACAAGCTGGAGGGTAATTATTCAGTTTCCCATTCTCTTCCCCCACTCTTCAAAAGGCTGCCTTTTGTTTTCCTCATTGCACTTGCCTTAAAACTTCTTTGCTTGCTCCTTTTTATCTCCACGACCACCACGTTTATGCCGTAAGGAAGAATTGAAGTTATTTCAGCTTTTTCACCATGGTGGTCTCTGGTTGATAAATTAGTAAAGTTGATTTATTATTATTAATTTTTTACTTTTTTCATGAGTTTATTTTGATGATGTTCCTGTTGCTTTGGGATTGAAAGTGTTTTCCCTCTCCTCATTTCCTTTTTTTTTTTTTTTTTTTTACTTTTTATTAATTAAAAGGAAAAAAAAGTTATGAATTGTTCTTTGGTAAAATTTTGACTGTATCCCACGTCTGTATTTCTATATTACTGATTTCTGAATACCTGCACGTAAAAGTTAATGAATGATTCTTAAAGTAAAACGCTCTTGTTATTCATAATTCCTGATGAGTCTGTAACTGCAATTTGGAAGAGTTTTTAATTTACCTGTTATTTAGGAGAGCGTTTTTATGTTTCCAGTGCTTGAGTTTCTTATTGTGACTAGTTATTAGTTCATAAATGGTCATTGGCTTTTATAATATCTGCCTTTGGGGACTAGTAGAATATTTTTTATAACTCAGTTCATGATAAATGTTTATGAATATTCTGTGAATACTGGGGAAATTATATACTCTCCATAAGATAAAAGTTTAGGTATGTATTTGTCATATTTATCATAGCTATCAATCTTATTTAATGACACTAATCAGATCTATTGTTACTTAAGTTTGCTTTTTTGTCAGAGATTCTTATTGTTTTTTCCCCCTCCTTTCAGTTTCCCTGTATATCTAAAAACATTGTTTTTGTTTTATTTACATTAAATATTATAAGACACGTACTTATGCTTAGTTAAATTTTACTCTGTATCCATTTCCCTTTAAACATTTTTAACTGAATTGTATACATAAAACTCTTATAAACAGCTTACGGCTGAATTTCCTTTTTAAATAAGATGGAAAGATATTAACCTACTAATAGGAAATTTTAACTTTAAATTATGAATATTTTGATGTTTTGGGTTTTATTTATTCACACAGTGTCATTAATTACTGCTGATTATAACTATTATTATTTTTGCAAAGTGAGCTAAGATTTCATTATATCTTTTAATCATCTTTTAAAAAATATTTGATAACATAGTGATACTACCTTGAAGTTTCAAATTTAAAGCAAATCGGAATATTTTTAATGAAGATAAATAACATTGTATAATAATGTACGTTTTGCATTATGATATATGACTTTACATTGGAAACTAAATCATTTTCTTTTTTATTACTGAAATTCAGATCCATTTTAACAATGGGGACTTTAATGGAGATCCAATTGTTGTTCACAGGGCAACCTCCTGTAAGTCATTACTGGGCTATTTATTATATAGACGTTAAGATACATGGTAGTGTCTGCAATATGTATTATTTTACATGCATAGTCACATTTAATTGTCAAATGTTTTAATTATATATTTCCCATAAATATAATATTTTAAGTTACCTGGAAAAACATATATATATATATATTTATATAGATAGATAGATATATCGTGTTTCCCCGAAAATAAGACCTACCCATAAAATAAGCCCTAGCAGGATTTCTGAGCATTTGGGCAATAGAAGCCCCACCCCGAAAATAAGCCTTAGTGACGGGCGTGGCTACGCAGCGCATCTGCACAACCCATGCATTTCATCACAGAGTGGGAAAGAAGACGAGCAGCCCTTCTCATCTGCCCCATGAGAGCTCTATGGCTCAACAGGAGAGATCGGGGCCGATGGTTCTAAAGGAAATAGAGTTGCAAGAAATTCAGGATGGGATTTGGGGTTTGGAGAGTGATGATGATGTTCCAGAAGAAGACAACTTCACTATATTTGAATCAATGTAGATTGTTGGACTGTACTTTAAAAAAATAACACATCCCCTGAAAATAAGCCCTAGGGTGTCCTCTTGAGGAAAAATAAATATAAGACCCTGTCTTATTTTTGAGGAAACACGGTATATAGGTCAACATCATATTAAAAATATAATACCTTAGATTCAAATCAGGAGATTCAGTTATTAAAGGATCATTGAATTCATTAGAGGATTTATGTATAGAAACTATTATGATTCCGTCTATGGTTTTTCTTCACGTCAGCAACTTTGTTTTGTGCGGTGTTTTAGAGATCGTTACCTACTTTATCTTACTCTGTCCCTCCGTGGTGTGCTTGGTAGAAGTGGGTCTCAGAGAGACATCTGTCTTCATTTACCTAATTGCAGCTAAGCACTTCCTAATCAGGATATGCCGCTTTAAATAATCAGTACTACTTAAAATACTTCAATCAAAGTAAAGGTACACATGAAAAAATTCATTTTAAATTCCATTATAATATAATGAAAATTGCATCTGGATATGACATTCCACACCCACTGTTCTGTTCACCGGAGAAACTACTTTTCACCAGTTCTCTTTTGTCTTTATAGTTTCCTTCAGATGTATATGAACAATATTATATCCTACTTTCTCTAGAGTTACTAACATTACCTATAGATATGAGCCTATGGAGGAAGAACAGAGGTACAAGATAATACGGATTCTGGCCGAGTTCCCCACTAGGTAGTGGCAGAGCTAGGTCTGGGACCCTAAGCAGTCTGGCTGAAGAGCTCAAGCCCTTAGGTGGCTGCATTATCATGTTGCATTTTCATTATAGAAGAAAAAGATCATATATTCATTCTAGTTAAGGGATATTCCCAAGACACCTCTCTTCTCCGCCCTTTCTCTAGGATAGGGTGTGATTTCACATTAAACCTTAGTGAAAACTTAATTCAGGGTAGGTCTTATCCTGACTATAGAATGAAACCTTTTTTGTCCCTTGGTGAATTGATTTGACCCCTCTATGAGCAGGTTAGAGGGTCTATTTTTGTGGAATAGAAGCCTTTCTGATCCCCTTAGGAAGCTGCCCACTTCTGCATATGAAGTTAAACTATATGAGTTTCTCTCCAAAAATATAATATACTAGGTGACTTCCTTGATTCCTTCGAAATGGAATGATTGACAGAAAGAAATTCAATAGAAGTGATAGTATTTTATAAAAGACTATTAATGGAAGGAAAGTCAATTGTTCTTCTAATTAAATATAAAATGTTTTTATTGGTTCCGAATAAATATAGCCAAAAATGACAGAAACAGGTATTTGGTCTAATTCTGAAATTTTTAGTTTTTGAAACCTCACAAGTCAAGGAAACAATATTAAAATGGAAGTACTTTAAAGGTGATTATCCAATGACTCTTGCAAAACATGTGACATAATAAGCTCTATTAATATGCTATTTTTCTTCATTTCTAGATAATTCTAAAGCACTGATAGCATTCCTGGCATTTCTGATTGTTGTGACATCAATAGCCCTGATTGTTGTTCTCTATAAAATCTATGATCTGCATAAGAGAAGATCCTGGTAAGAGCTGATTTATGAGCTAAAAATAATAATGGCGGCAATAGGGACACAAATCTATCCACAAGGCAGTGATGCCACCGGTTAAGTGAGGTACATGAGCTGGAGAAGACTGCGTGGAGTCCAGCTCACGACCAGAACTTTTAGTCAAAGACTTTTTAAGTAGCGTTTTATTGGCTTATATTAAGTATCAGCGTTTTCCACACTTGCTAATGATGTTGTGGACTTGGTTTAATAATAGCCAGCAGAAAGAATGTGTGTGTAGTCTTTTAGTACAGAGAGGATGAGAGGGATTGAGGACTGACAAAAGCCAAAGAAAGGAGGGAAATAAATATCTGGAGACGTTCGTGTGTTTCTTGGCCAGAAATAGCCACATTTGATGAAAAACAGAAAATGTAAAATAAAATCATTCAGCCATTTATCTGAGTTTAGCAGACAGCTCTTGGCTGTTTTTTTTTTTTTCCCACCCTCACTTTTTCTTTCCACCCTCCTTTCTCCTCTCTGCCCTTTCTGTCTTTTCTCTCTCTAGACTCTTCCTCTCTTCCCTCCTTCCCTCTTCTCCTTTTATTCTCCCAGCCTCCATTTCTTTATCCCTTCAAGACATTTATTAAATATGAATTAAATGCCAACGGAATGCTATGTTTCTTAAGACTAAAGCAACTTTTTTTTTTTTTATTTTCACAGCAGTTTAGATGACCAATATGAACTTGTTGAAAGGGGTAAGTCTGTCTATTTTTTTCACTATTCCCAGCCCTGCATTTGAATCTATTCATTTAGAGTAGGAAGTGGGGCGTTGTCAGTGTTCAACATGGACTTCTTCTGCTCATGCCATGGTAAAACTTAAATACATTCATTCATTCATTCATTCATTCATTCATTCAGCGGGCATCTATGCAGTTCCCTGCATACACTAAATACTGTGCCAGGCAGCAGACTCTGCCTTTAGAGGGTTTAGCATCTGCTAGAGGAAGGCAAATATATTAACAAATATGATGGTAATTTGATAAACGCCCTGTATGGCTCTATAGAAATAGAGAAGATAGAAAAGCGTGTGTGTGGAGAACAGGAGGCTGGTCTGCTGAGATTGTGGGCAAACACCAGACCGACAGATGAGGAAGTCGTGGAAGGAAGAGCAGATGGGATGTCACAAACAGAGATGGGGAGGTGGGGAGGGTCCCCAAGTCCCTGCCAGGGTGGGCTGCTGGCCGTTCCCGCTAAAGACGCCGTTCTGGACGGGTTGAAGAACAGCCCTTTGACTTAGGAGAGGAAAACAAATTCCTTTTTTTTTTTTTTCTCTTTTTATTCAATTTTTATATGTCATTTATTTAATTTCTTTTTAAAGACATGATTTGTGATCCAGTAAAAGGGGACTAAGTTAAAGACATTGAAACTTTGTTCGCAATGAAAAAAAGTTGTTTTCTCATACTGGAGACAGGAAGAATTTCGGGACTCAGCTGTTTGTGCTAACTTGTGTTTGAAGGGCTTCCCCCCTGGCGAGAGCAGGTACCAAGTCTGCCTGCAGAAGCTTTAGGACTGGTTCTCTGAAGCTCCTTTAGTGGGTTTTATTTTCCTTTGAGGAATCTATCACTCCCTGACACTGTATTCTACTTTTACGCATTTGTTTGTTGACTATCCTCCCCCAACTAAGAATGTAAGCTTTGGGAAGGCAGCGAGGTTTGCCTTTCTCATGCACTGCTTTAACCCCAGTGCCTGGATGAGTGTTTGGCATTTAATGAATGCCAAGGAATAGATAAATTAGTGAGATAAGGTGTCCAGAGGATTAGTTTTGATAGGCTGAGGAAAGAATGAAGAAGACAGGGGCAGCAGGCATCTGAGCAGAGTAGGATATTTCATTTCAATGAATCAAGATATATTGGGAGAGTGTCAACAAAATACGTTATTTCCAAATCAGTGCTGATTGCACCTTGGAATGCATTAGAACTTACCGGCTCAGACCCGGTGAAACCCTGAGGGTGGTCCTCAGCTCAGAGCGAATGAATGCCAGGATTCCCGACAACCAAAGCAGCAACTGCACACGGCCAGTTTGATAGCTCTAATTGGATAGAAAGTCCATGGATAAGATAAATGTGCCACCCTCATGGATACTTTCTTTCTTCATTTAATACATGGGTATAATTAATATGAAATGGGTAATACTGAAAGAAATATTACCAGCAATACGTGGAAAAGTAGGAGAAACATATTTTTTCCATGTGACAGCTTAAATTCTCTTATTCTTCTAAAACTGTTTTTTTTTTAATTCCATAGACAATTATAGCTTTTGATGGTTACTGTGTATTTTTTACTCTGTAGTAAGTTATTTCACAAACACAGTCTATAATATATTTTACATTCTGGAAGCGTAACAAGTGAATGTAACTTGTTTCACAGATGATGAGTATAAACAGATGATCAAATTAAGCCAAGTCATGCGTATAGGGATATTAATCATATTCTCTTATTTCATCTGTGTGTTTACAATATTTTACAATAAGTTAAAATGGAAATAACACAAATAAAAATAATAATTATACATTCATAAATACGGTAACTGTTACAAAATGCATATAATCAAAAAGAAATGTGGATGTCCTTACAATGGTGATATTTGATCTGGGATCTTTTTTCTAAGCACCAAAGATAGGGAAGGACATTCTATTAGAGGGAACAATATAAAGTCTAGAAGAGGCTAACGTACAAGATTTAGAAGTCATTGATTTATAGTATGTACACAAGTGAGATTTCTTAGGTGGAATGTGTGTGAGAAGGAAAGAAGCTAAGGATTGAATATAGGGTGTACATTTACTGAAATTTATATGCCAATTTGGAAGATAGGCACATAACTAGTGCTGCATCTTTAATATGTTTACAGAGGATGAAAAACAACTGATGAATGTGGATCCAATCCATGCAGATGTTTTGTTGGAAACTTACAAAAGAAAGATTGCTGATGAAGGGAGACTCTTTCTGGCTGAATTTCAGGTGTGTGTTCCTCTTGATATATGATGAGAAATTCTATTCACACATCAAGAAAATGCCATGTTAAATGCATTTTGTGTAACCATTTTCCTTTATGATTTATCCTGCATAATATTGCAACATAATCAAAGCAGATATTAATAAACCAGAAGAGACATTCATAGAGATTGACAATACCATAGTATGGAGCTAGTCATACTTTAATATAATGCTTTATTGTGTTATGAAGCTGTGCCACAAAATACACTTGGCTGATTCAGCACTTGTGCTCTAGATAATCATTTAAGAATTTTAAAGTGACACAACAACCAATTCTAAATTGACCCTCACTCATGAGATATGTTTTGAAAGTAGTACATCATTAATGTTTTTTTTCAGTTCATTTTTTTTTATTTTAGCATATTTATGGGGGTATAAGTGTTAAGGTAATGTTTAAAGGGGGAAAAGTGTTTTTTGCATAATTCCTAATAATATTTATTTCACTTACCATAAGCAACTTCTTTATCCATAAGAAGAAAACATGTTATAGGATATCATATTTGCTCAAAATGATAGTTGGTAAGGGGGAAATTATTTTTCCTTGATCTGCTGTGACCTAAAGAATGTTTGTGTCTTTCAGAGCATTCCACGTGTGTTTAGCAAGTTTCCTATCAAAGATGCCCGAAAGCCCTTTAACCAGAACAAAAACCGTTACGTTGACATCCTTCCTTGTGAGTACTCATGGAGAGTTGAATTTCTGAGTATCTGGGCTGCTCGATTATTCATTGTTTCACTTGTTTATTTCTCTTTTCTTTAAACAGATGACTATAACCGTGTTGAGCTGTCTGAGATAAACGGAGACGCGGGGTCCAACTACATAAATGCCAGCTATATTGATGTGAGTTAAAACACACAACCGCCGAGTTACAGCCCCGCCCCATCATTGCGTCACTGGCGATTTGCATTTTTCTCGTATCTATGCATCCCATTCAGTTCCTTCTTTGTCCTGGCAAGATTTTAGAAATGTTCTTAGAGGTGTTTTAGAGTGAGCCTATAATGTCCCTGGTGTAAGCAACAAAATCGCTAATATTTGCAAGAATATTCATAGTTCATTGGTACTAGCTATAATGCGTTTTTCCTCTACAGACAAAATTATACTAAGAATTAATATAACGTACTCTGCTGCTTTTTGTGTGCTGCATATTAGACTAAATGATCTACGGATGCATTTCTGATGAGAACCCCACTTTGGCGCCATCTGCATACAGTGTGCTCATTGTACAGGTGGACCAGGAGTCTCAGTTTGATTAGTTATCGTGTCCTTGTTTGCACAGTTAGTAAAGATTTGAGTAGAGATTCAACCCAGGACTGCCTGATTCCAAATTACCCTGCTTTGATTACACAACACTACCTTTTAGCAGGTAATCTTTTTTTTTTTTTTTTTGAGACAGAGTTTCATTCTGTTGCTCAGGCTACAGTGCCCTGGCGTCAGTCTAACTCACAGCAACCTCAAATTCCTGGGCTCCAGCAATCCTCCTGCCTCAGCCTCCCAAGTAGCTGGGACTACAGGCATGTGTCACCCTGCCCAGCTAATTTTTTGTATATATTTTTAGTTGGCCAATTAGTTTCTATTTTTAGTAGAGATGGGGTCTCGCTCTTGCTCAGGCTGGTTTCGAACTCCTGACCTTGAGCGATCTTCCCACCTTGGCCTCCCAGAGTGCTAAGATTACAGGTGTGAGCCACCGCGCCCGGCCCTCAGCGGGTGCTCTTCATTGGCACTGATCAATCTGTTCGTTTTATTTATCCCCAAATGCAATTATCTGTGCATGGTTAATTTATTTAAAATATTTAAAAAATTAATTATAAAATTGTTAAATAAGTACTGCATTACGTGAGTTAAATAATTTTAGATAGTATAAAACATATAAATGGGCTGGAGAAGAATCTTTTTCTCACCTAATCTGCCATTTGCTCCATGTTGCTGTCTTCCAGGAGAGGTAACATCTACACTGGCTGCTCATTTATCTGTCCAGTTTTTTTTTTACACATAAGCAGGAAAACACCAACATTTGTTATTCCCCCTTTATGCAAAAATGTTAATATAATATTCACACTGCTTTGTGCCACTTAAAAAATATATATGTCTGGGGTATATACACCATCACTATGAAAAGCAGAGGACGGCAAGCTTTTCTTGCAAGGGGTCAGATAGTAAATATTTTTGGCTTTTTAGGGCAGAACATCTCTGTCCCAGCCTCTCTGGTCTGCAGGTGAATGGCCAGGCATCCTTAGACAACATGCAGTGTGGCTATGAACAAAAGAACTTTAATTACAGAATCAGACCATGCTGGACTTGGCTCACAGGCTATCGTTTGCTGACCTCAAACCTAGAGTGTTTCCTTAACCTTCTTTGATTTTTTTTATATTTTTTGAGACAGTGTCTTGCTCTGTTGTCCCAGCTAGAGTGCCGTGGCGTCAGCCTAGCTCACAGCAACCTCAAACTCCTGGGCTCAAGCTATCCTCCTGCCTCAGCCTCCCGAGTAGCTGAGAATATAGGCATGTGTCACAACACCTGGCTAATTTTTCTATTTTTTGTTTTTAGTAGAGATGGAGTCTGGCTGTTGCTGAGGCTGGTCTTGAACTCCTCAGCTCAAGCAATCCTCCCGCCTTGGCCTCCCAGAGTGCTAGGATTGCAGGCATGAGCCACGGTGCCTCACCTCTTCTTTTATATTTTTATAGTAATTCATGGTATATTGTTCCACAATGAGTTTCAATATATCTATAGGATAAATTTCTAAAAGAAGAATTTCAGGGCCAAATAGTATATGCATTTGTAATTTTAAAAGAAATTTCCAAGTGGTTCTCCACTGGAATTATACAAATTTATTTATTAATATATTCCACCAGCAGTGTATGAAATTGCCTATTTCCGCATAGTCTTGCTAAAAGAAGAAAAAAATTTTGAATGGTTGGGCATGGTGGCTCACACCTATAATCCTAGCACTTTGGGAGGCCAAGACAGGAGGATTACTTGAGGCCAGAAGTTCAAGACTAACCTGAGCAAAAGCAAGAACCTGTCTCTACAAAAACAGAAAAAAAATAACTGAGTGTAGTGATGTGCACCTATAGTCCCAGTTATTCAGGAAACTGAGGCACGAGGATCACTTGAGCCCAGGAGTTAGAGGCTGCAGTGAGCTATGATCATGTCACCGTACTCTAGCCTGGCGACATAGTAAGAGCCTGTCTTGAAATCAAATAGTTTTTTTTTTTTTTTGCAATCAAATAGTTGATAAGGTGTAATATCATGCTACCGTATATGCTGATCTATTAGGTGGTTTCTCAAATTTTCTTAAAGAAAAAAAATTGAAATTTAATTTTGTATTTGTTATTAGTGTCGTTTGGCCTACTTGAATATGTAAACTTTTAGTGGGGTAGTTGAAAGAGTCAGATTTCAAATTATAATGATGTATTTAGTTATTTCCATAGTGCGTTAGTTCCCTAGGGGACTGACATAACAAAAGCAACACAACCACCAAGTCTTAAAACACCAGAAGTTTATTGTCACCGTCGCGGAAACGAGAAGTTTGAAATCAAGGTGCCAGCAGAGCCCTGGTCCCCCAGAAGGCTTTGGGGGAGAAATCCATCTTTGCTCCCTCCTATTTGGCGTATATACAGCAAAGCCACAAGAAAGCCGTGACTGTGGTCGGCCGGTGTTGACTGACAAGTTTAGCACAATTCAGTGCCTGATCACGATTTAATAAAATCCCCGTACCAATTTGAAAATGCCCAGGGAAACTCACAACCAAGAAATGGTGGGTCTCAAGCAGCTTCCTCTCAGTCACAGTTTTGCATGTGAATGGCTAATTCAGTGCTTGGTTAATGACATGCTTGTTTTGTGTTTTGAACAGGGCTTCAAAGAACCCAGGAAGTACATTGCTGCACAAGGTAATGTATTTGGTGGTCCCATATTGTTTTTGAAAAATCGTCTTGCTTCTTCTGTGCTTATATTTGTTTCTGTCCTAGGTCCCAGGGATGAAACTGTGGACGATTTCTGGAGGATGATCTGGGAACAGAAAGCCACGGTGATTGTCATGGTTACTCGATGTGAAGAAGGAAACAGGGTAAGAACTCAGGGAAGATTCACAGGGCAGACGTTAGGGAAATAACGTTTAGGAAAACAAAGCATTGAATCGCATTTCAAAAAGCCACATATATGTGCTTGATGACTGCAACAAGACAGTGTTCTATTTTCATCAGTGTTAGCATTTGCTTTAAATATTTTCTACATATACCGTGTTTCCCCCGAAAACAAGACCTACGCATAAAATAAACCCTAGCAGGATTTCTGAGCATTTGTGCAATAGAAGCCCTACCTCAAAAATAAGACCTAGTGACGGGCGTGGCTACGCAGCGCATCTGCACAACCCATGCATGTCGTCTCGGGGCAGTAAAGACGAGCAGCCCTTCTCATCCGCCCCACCGTGACAGCTACTATCCCAGAGGGGACCGCAAAGGTGCGGGCAGCCCCACCAACAAGGTCGGCTCCCCCTGTCAGGTCCCAGCCATCCTGTGCGTGCTGCAAGCTGAGGCTTTGGGGGGAAAATAACACGTCCCCTGAACATAAGCCCTAGGGTGTCTTCTCGAGGAAAAATAAGTATGAGACCCTGTCTTATTTTCGGGGAAACACAGTAGAATAATAAAATTTCCACATATGTAAATATATGTTTATATGCATGACATTTAAATACTTCTGCTGAATTGCTCATCTTTTAGTTGTTCCCTGTATCTTTGCAGTGTGCTGTAAGTTCAGTGCTGTTATAAGTTAGCACATCAAGTAGGAGTATTCACAAGGACTTGATGTGCTCGCTTCACAAGTACTTGTGAGCACGCAAAACAAAACTGACCTTGGGCAGATAAGTGGTGAATCACATGACATGACTTTAGGAGGAGTAATAAGCCTCTCTGTCCTCCAGCCTGAAATGAACCACAAGCAATCACATCCTTTTGACTGACCACGGAGCATGTCCGTATTTATTTATTTATTTATTTTGAGACAGAGTCTCACTCTGTTGCCCGGAGTAGAGTGCCGTGGCGTCAGCCTAGCTCACAGCAACCCCACACTCCTGGGCTCAAGCAATCCTCCTGCCTCAGCCTTCCGAGTAGCTGGGACTACAGGCATGCACCACCACGCCCGGCTAATTTTTCCTACATATTTTTATGTTGTCCAGCTAATTTCCTTCTATTTTTCAGTAGAGCCGGGGGTCTCACTCTTGCTCAGGCTGGTCTTGAACTCCTGACCTCGAGCGATCCTCCCCGCCTCGGCCTCCCACAATGCTAGGGATTACAGGCGTGAGCCACCACGCCCGGCCTTGAGCATGTGCTCTTTTAGCATGCCACTAAGCCTGGCAAGATCACCTTTCTACTAAGCAGTATCAAGGGTATTCTTCAGGGTACATTAATGGGAAAGAGAACACATCTCAAACATCACAACTTAAGATGTGTATGTGCTTTAATGGAAAATACACTAATGTTTTAAGAAAAATTTTTTGGTTTTTTTTTTTTAAGAAAGTTTAATGAAAAATTGCTTAGATGAAAAAGTGAAATCCTTAATGGTTTTTCAAAACACAGAACAAGTGTGCAGAGTACTGGCCATCCATGGAAGAGGACACTCGGGCTTTCGGAGATGTCATCGTGAAGATCGAGGAGCACAAACGGTGTCCTGATTACATCATTCAAAAACTGAACATCACACACGTGAGTCGGTTTTAGCAAGCAATTTTGCTTTGAAACTTTTTTTTTATTAAAATGCGGTTATGGAGCATTAAATACGAGACATTTAAATCTATCTGGGAAAATTGTTTTCAACGACCTTTAGGAGGGAAAGCTGGGTTTAGAACAGCGACCCGAGCCAACAGGGTCAAGTTTAAGCCACTGGTCGAGAAGTGTTGGTCCAAGTCAAATCAAAAGCATCCACCATGCTGTGAGCCTTGAAGTATTCTGAAAAAGGAAAATTACACTAGAAGTCTCGACAATTAATAATTATTAATTATTAAAATAATTAATAATTATTAAGTTATTATTAAATGAATAAACACGTGGTCCTTATTCTCAATGGATGCTCATTCTTATGGAAAGAATGTTCATGCAAATGGCATAATCAGAGAACACTTTAAAGTTCTACCTACAGAGCAGAAATAGAATATTTTGTTCAGAAAATAAAGAGTTTGGTGTGGCCTTAAACAACAGTTGAAATGGAAGCCATTTCGCATATTATATGATTGCATTTATATGAAAAGTCCAGAGCAGGCAACCCTACAAAGACAGAGAGTAGATTAGCGGCTGCCCAGGGCTCAGAGGGTCAAGTAGAAACAGGGAGTGGCTCCTAATGGGTACAGGTTTTCATCTTGTGGTGACAAAAATGTTCTGTAATCAGACCGTGGTGGTGGTTGTACCACTCTGTGAATATAATTATAAGACACTGAATTGTACATTTTAAATGTGCGAAGATTATAGTCCATAAAATACTTGATAGAGCTGTCTAGAAAAATGCAAGCTTTTATAGAAGGCATTGAAACTTTCTCTGAATTCTATTTGTCGGAGGGCTTTTAGTAGTGTAAGTTTTGTTACAATATAGTCCGGTTACATTTCCTACGGGAAAAACAGAATTACTGCGGATTTCTCCCAAGGCCTTCTTGGGCTCCCCTGGCATTACTGACCGCTACCCCAAGGCTCTGCAGGGACAGTGCCGATGGCTCGTGGCTGGATGCTTGGTGGGCTGAGCCACAGAGCCCCCCAGTCCAGACATGTGGGGGTTCACAGACAGGCTGGTGCCCATCTGGTTGCATTGATCAGTCTGGGGTCACTGTTCTTAATCAATTCGGTTATTTCCTATCAGAAAATTTTAATCAAAATATATTTACTTTTTTTTTTAAAGTTTTTTTCTTTTTGTTTGTTTGTTTCTTCTGCTGTCTAAATGTAGGGGGCTCTTCATACCTGGCCAGAGAATTATGGTTTACACATCTTCTGGTGGTTTCCCTGAAACTAGGACCAACATGAGCTGTAATCTGGGGCTGACTTTCCCCAATTCACTCTTTAAATTCTGAGCTGGCAATTCTATTCTGTAAAGGCGTAAGGAATACGAAAACGGTGCTAACCAGATAATTAATCACATTTTCTGCACATGAAAGATAGTCCTGTCTGCCGGCCTAGCAAAGTGCAAGTATATCAGACAGCTGTGAGAACGACCTGCACTTTCTACTCTTTCCACACATCCACTCAACCCCCCGCCTACCAGGACTACCTCCTTTGTTGTTGTTGTGTTCTTACTGTTGTTGTTTGTCGTTTGCTTGTTTGTCTTGGCAGCGTGAAAGTTCCCAGGAGTTTCAGCTACCCTTACCTTACCTTACTTACCTTGCTGGTAAGTCCGTTACCGCTTACTGGGTAATGCACGCAAGTCCTGCATGACATCTCAATGCATAGTTCTTATTTAAAAAGGAAAATGCAATCCTGGCTGCAACAACTTGCAGGATGCCTGCGTAGGAATCGTGGACTCTCCGGAGCAGTCTATGTTTGCATGGGGAGATTTCTATGCGGGTCCTCCCTTCCGCTTGTTTATGCCACGTCGTTTGCTCTAGAAAAAAAAAATGCCTCAAATAAAACATTATCTCCAATAGAAAAAAGAAAAAGCAAGTGGAAGAGAGGTGACTCACATTCAGTTCACCAGCTGGCCGGACCACGGGGTGCCTGAAGACCCTCACCTGCTACTCAAGCTGAGAAGGAGGGTGAACGCTTTCAGCAACTTCTTCAGCGGCCCTGTGGTCGTGCACTGCAGGTGCGTACCGACTCCCCCAGCCCCGCCCAGCCGGTTTGCATCCTTTATGCCTGCGCTGGGAGGCCAGGGACGTTCTCTTCTATGGCAATTGCTATTTGGGGACCGGTCTATGGCAGAGACTTGTATTCTTCTCTTTGCTTCACTCTCGGCAGCTCCTGGGTTCCTTTCCCCCACCACGGCCACCACGCGCTCACTGTTCTCATTTCTCTTGCCAGTGCGGGCGTTGGGCGCACAGGCACCTACATTGGCATCGACGCCATGCTGGAGGGCCTGGAGGCTGAGAACAAAGTGGACGTCTACGGTTATGTGGTCAAACTGAGGCAGCAGAGGTGCCTGATGGTTCAAGTGGAGGTTTGTTCTCACCTTCAGTGACTGTTCTCACCTCTGTGTTTGCACTTATGTCTTTCTGGGGTGGTGGTTGATGGCCTTAACAGAAATCCAAAAATTCCTCTCAACTTGGAACAGTGGGTGGAAATAGTTTTTGTGTTTTTTTTTTTTTTAATTTCTTGAAAACTCAGACATGTGGTAATCACCCTAGTTAGAATTATTTTGCATTTGTGCCTAAAATTGCTGTGAAAGAAAGAAGACCATAAAATGTAATTTAAGAAAATAATGAAATACCATTTACACACACAGATTGGGGGAAAAAAAATAAACACACTGAAAACAGATTTGGCATCTCATCAAATTAAAACTGGAGAGACAGAATCCTATACGGGTCAAGAGCCTGCTTTTTGGAACTAGACTTCCAGAAAGTTTTTAGAACTAGACTTCCAAGTTTCAAACTCTGCCTCTACTCTTATGCACCGTTGGACAAGTTTTTTAAAAAAATGTTTCAGTGCCTCAGTTAAGTCATCTGTAAAATGGAGGTCACGATAGAAGTTTTCTCACAGACTTATAACAAAAGGAGGAATACAGCTAAAGCATTTAAACAAGTCCCTTAAACATGCCGTGCATTCAGGAGTTGTAAGTGATGGTTGTTATTGAACATGCCTGTACTTTACCTAGAAACATTTCCTGTATGTATCTACCCATGAGAAGCATTTGCGCATGTGCGTGCCTGGAAACATGTACGAGAATATTCAATGCATTCGGCATCATTAGAATAGCAAAACTTGTTGAATATATATAAATAGGAGAATGGGAACACCCTCTCTCTATATATATATCCACAGGGGGATTTGCAAACAGAGTGTGAACATGTGCAATCTCTGTACGACAAATGCTAAGCTGTAGTTGAAAGAAATAATCTAGGTCTGTATCTGTCTATTTGGGTAGATATCCAGATGAAAACAATGAGTGAATATAGTCGCCAAATGAAACATACCGGGTATGATTTGTGGGATATTTTAGAAAAGCACAAATTGTATAATGTTTATATATTTATAGCTACATACATTTCCATAAAACATTACAGAAGCATAAAAACAGTTTGTAAACCAGAAAAAAAAGAAACTATTTTTTGTGGGGGAAAAAAATAGAGTGGAAGGCTACAGCCAAAGTCGGAGAGGACTAAAGGTGGTAGTTAATGTTAGTACAGGTGCTGCCAAAGTGAGCACAAGAGGTAGTAAAGAAACTTATCAGAAATAGAATATTTCCTAAAAAATACTGCATTCAAATATGGCAAATTGTTAGGAGCTGCTAAATCTGGGTTTGGCATATTGGGTTATTTTTTAAAAATAATTTTCTCTATTTTAAAGTGTTCTAGAAAAGTTTTTAAAAATGTATTCTGTGGCATAGCAACTTGCTTTTTTTCTCTCAAATATACTGTGAAATTTATTACTTTTTTTTTTTTTTTGAGACAGAGTCTATCTGTTGCCCGGGCTAGAGTGAGTGCCGTGGCATCAGCCTAGCTCACAGCAACCTCAAACTCCTGGGCTCAAGTGATCCTCCTGCCTCAGCCTCCTGAATAGCTGGGACTACAGGCACACGCCACCATACCCGGCTAATTTTTCTATTTTTAGTAGAGATGGTGTCTGGCTCCTGCTCAGGCTGGTCTCGAACTCTGGAATTCAAGCAGTTCTCTGGCCTTGGCCTACCAGAGTGCTAGGATTACAGGTGTGAGCCACTGTGCCTGGCCCTACAGTTTTATATATTAGTAGTTTGATTTAGCAACTCAGCAATAATCATTGAACGAAGCAACAGGCAATGTTTTTTTTTTTTTAATTTTTAGGAATAAGAAAAAAAGCAATGAATACACAGTACATGAATAATCTATTTGTCAAGCTATTTTATTTTCCTGAAAAAGTGGTCTGAAATGGAATTCGCTCATATTCCAGAAAACTCTGAGAAAAAACCTCTGAGCAAAATTACAGGAATGTGTATTTTATTTGAATGTGACTTATAGGATTCTAAGTTTTCAATGCACTATCTGTATTTTTTTTTTTAATTGTAGGCACAGTACATCTTGATCCATCAAGCCTTAGTGGAATACAATCAGTTTGGAGAAACAGAAGTGAGCTTGTCTGAATTACATCCATATCTACTTAACATGAAGAAAAGAGATCCACCCAGTGAACCATCTCCAGTAGAAGCTGAATTCCAGGTAATAATAATGATAGCAATATTAGTAATTATGGGTAATTTTTATTAGTGCCATCTGTTTTCCAGCTGTTTGCTTTGCACTTGCATTTGCTCCACACCATAAGCATCAGAGCACAGAGAAGGAAACTAGGACACAGGGGAGTTTAAGAGAAATGCCTGAATTTGCACAACTATTATGTAGGAGATTTGTTTAAACCCAGAAATCTGATTCTATCACTAACAATCTTAACCATTCCCCATTAAGCTGATACAAAATACAGCGCCGAAACAGCAGCGTATATATTGGTCTGCCAAAGGCAATGTAGCATATCGCCTTTAAAAACTGTGTCTGGTTTTTGGTTTGTAAAGGAAATAATTAGAGCAATCTATGACTGCCTAGGAAGCTGAACTGGCTGGGGCTGGTTGGTAGAAAGTAAAGGTTAAGTACAGGTGTCCTCACCTATTTATTAGGCAATGATTCTGACAGCAAGCCTAGCATGTAGTTAAGTATGATTTCAGAGAGTTGGCATAGCTATCCTCAAATCGCTCAGTTGTCAAAGGTAAGCATTCTTATGAACGAATATTTGTTCACCACAAGAGAGTATTTTTTCACTTGAACAAATATGATTGAATTTCTGCTTTGTGCCGAGCACGATTCCAGGCACAAGAGTCAAAATGATTTGCAAATGGATGTGGGGATAAGGCATGAGATAGTATAAACCAGATCGCAGATAATAGTTCTAACCCTGATGGAAGCGGTGAAGTTGTCTCACCTAAGCAGACAGGAAGATGGAAAATGAGGGTAGAGATGCAAATTGGCTGGTAGATTTGGTGATGGGAAGTTGAAGCAGCTCTTGCCCAATTGTCTTGCATTTCTCAAGAAATTAGGATGCAAGATCATCAGCTGAGAGTTGGGGGATAGCGTAGTGAGTTGGGCAAAGAGCTAATGCTTGAGGAAGGGGAAAGAGTACAAATTAGTTATCTCAAAATAGGAAAACAATCTCCGCTGACCAAGGTAGTAAGATTGCCAGAATTTATTGTTTGATGACTTGAAATTTATGGTCATGCATTTAGAGAGGAATGGGTCAGTTGGTTGTATTGTTTTCTGTAGTGACGTTGAGCTTCCTGGGGATAGGAGTGGTGTACGCAGATAGGTGGGTTAAACCCCCCTAGCTTAGAAAGTGACTGTCTGAGAGTGGGGAGGCAAAGCAGTTGAGGGTGTTTATGATGAATGATCGTGGCGGTGACCACCTGAAGGATGTGAGGGAAGGCAGTGAAGACAATATGTTGGAGATTTTGGTAGAATTGCAGATTGCTAGTTTGAAGGTACTAGAATAGATGACTAGGAAGAATAGGGATAATTTTCAATAACGGGGGTAGTTGAAATCATGATTTTAGAAGGGATGCAATGTTTGGAATGAAACCTCCAGAGGTAGAATGATGAAAGTGGATGGCTACGGAGCGGAGGGAAAGGTGGGAGGTGCGGAAGCTCAGCGATGAGGAGATTGGAGTGCTGCACAGGGCACTTTGCCAATGTTGGAGTCACCAAGGGCGATGGCCAACCTCGAGGAGAAGGGCACGCAATTAGCCAAATCTAATCCAGAAATTGGCACCTGGCACCTGCAAGTGAAGGGTGGTGGAGAGAGGGTGGTATAGATGGCAGGAACATCAAAGATTTAGGTTTTTCTGAAGGAGAAATGGTTTGCAGGGAGGAGCAGGGAACAAAGAGAACACATGCCTTTTCTTCAAGCTGTAAGGCCAACGGAGTGAGAAGGGGAATCGAGCTTTCTCTTAAAAGGGTTACCAGTGTTCTTGGTGATGTTCTCAAGTGACATCTAGGTTTCACTTGCTGCAAAATCAAAAACACAACACAAAAGGTGGACGGGAATTTGCTGGTGGCAGACCACGGGCACCGGAGGGCAGAGAGGAGGACGCCGATTGGTGAGATGTGAGAGACAGGGCTGTGTTGGAGGATATACCTGATCACTTAGGGAGCCGGGGAGCGTGGATGCATATGGGGAGGCTTAGACATGTGCTGAAACGAGCAGGATTGAAGAGGCAAAATCCTTTGTGTCCTAGATGAAGGTGATCCATCAGGTCTACCTGTAACCCTGGGTGCTGTCTACAAGGCAGGGGCTGCTGGGTGACCACTCTCACAGAGCACAGGTGCTGTGTTGCTCTCCAAAGCATCTGACCCTCCAAGCAGTGCATGGTGTGTCCCAGGAGCCCAGTATTCAGTGACAATATTTACTTTTCATTCAATAACATGCACATAAACGGAGTTCAAAACAGGATGCAATACTTTGAAAGTGGGCACCATATTGAAAAAATATGTGTGTGTGTACTCACACATGCACCCGTACATGCTTCTGTGTGTGTTCACACATACATGAACCCGTACATGCATCTCTGTGTGTGCATAAAATCTTACTGAATTGTACATGAGGAGATTTTTCTCAGTTCAAGTCATTCATCATATTGAATATTAAGACTTATTCCTATTAAATATTATTCACTTGACAAATAGTTATTTAAGGACTGGTGGAAAGAGTAGGCTTTAGGCAGGGAAGCCTTCCAGAAGAAACTGACATTTAAACTGGTACCTACAGGGCGAGAAAAGTTATCAGAGTGGCCAAAAGGGGGAAAAGGGTAGTTCAGGCAGGAAAATAAAAACAAACAAACAAAAAAAAAACACGTCTGTCGGGACGAGAGAGTTAAAAACCACTTGGCCCTTCCAAGAATTGAGGACGTTGCGTGGGCTGAAGTGTGGGTGAAGCGTGGCTAGTAGGGACCAGGCTGGAGAGATGTCTGGAGCTCGTCCCTAAAGGCATCTTACGATAGGCTGGGGAGGTTCGCTGCTTTCTAAGGGCGATGGGAGGCTACCAAAGATCTCAACAGGGACATCTTCTGTTTTGCATTTTGGAAGGATTAGAGCAAGCAAGACTGAGGTTGTTAAGACAGTGTTGACGTTTTCCAAGTAAGCAGTGAGGCTGGACTGGACTAGGTAGGAGGAGAGGACAGTGGAAAGCCGCGTGAGCCTGGGCAGCAGCAGCCGCGGCGGGTCCTGCTGACCGACGGGCGACTGTGCTTGGGAGGGGAGCAGTCTGGAAGGGGCGCGCAAATGAAGCACCCGCTTTCGAAGCATGTGTCCAGTCCCCCGTGGGTGCTGTGTCTGCAGAGCGTACGTCTGACAATTTAAAATAACTGACCATTGCCTTTGCAAGATGGATAGTAATCAGCATCAGTCTGGTGCTTTCAACGTACGCGGGAACTGACTATACTACTTTGCTCTCAAGCAGCTCTTACGAAGGAGGCACGTATTCTGTTACGTAACTATATCTTTTTAGGTTCAAACTTATCGTATTAAAAGTACCAAATAGCTGAGAAACCCGAAAGGAAAAATTCAGAGGCAAACGTAAAAACTGTGAGTTCTAGGGGGTGTATGCAGATTTCCCCAAAATGAATGAAACGTTTTTCTTTAGGGATCATAGTATGGCACAATAATAAACTGAGCCAATCTTTACATTTTAAAAGGAGTTTTCTGTTCTATTTCTTTTTTGCTCAGAGACTTCCTTCATACAGGAGCTGGAGGGCGCAGCACATTGGAAATCAAGAAGAAAACAAAAGCAAAAACAGGAATTCGAATGTCATCCCTTGTATGTATTTTATTTTATTTTGTTCTTGTGTCAGATGAAGTTGACCTCTCTTTTGGATTTGTTTAATGTGAGACACACACACTCTCACACACACTCACACACACACACAAATGACTTTGAAGTAAGTTTTAAACGTTTGCTTGATGATAGAGAAGAAGTTAATAGGCTATTTAAATTTTACTTATAGAAAATATTTAGAATCCTTTTTAGAACCACTTACAATGGACTTTGGAAGGTAGACTAAATCCAGTGTTTTCTTTCCACCAATTATTTCAGAAATGTGTTGTCAGAAAGATGGAACCTCTGAATCTGGGAGAAAAATAATCAAGTCTCTTTTTACCAGTTCTCTCTCTTATTTTTAGTTTATTTCTGTTATTTACTCCAGGGCAGTTGCCGAATAGCAAAAAATTACATCCATTTGTTCACTTCATGTTTTCTTTTCATCCCTTATAGCTGGGAGGTTGAAAGTAGGGGGGGGGAATATTCTATGAACTATCAATCATCAAATTTAACAGATCAAAATATGCACAGTTTCCAAGACTTAAATTCTACTATTTAAGCATATTGACATGATTACATCTGCTACAACTCTAATTTTATTCAGCTGCATACACTAAAATTAGTGTGGATGAAATATAACCCAAGCTAATAAACTAGACAACCAAATAAATCAGATCAGTGCATGGTTGACCTAGCTAATTTCTGCAGAAGTTCTTATGAACACAGCTTAAAATACAGAATTGATGATGATGTAGTTAATCAGTTCACTTGGTCAGGATATTATAGATTAATGAAATTGAGAAACAGTGAGACATTATGAACCAAATAATTTTAGACTAATTTAACAATTAAATAATAATCCGAGATACCAATTTAACTAAGATTGTTAATTTAATGTTAATAAGATATAATTAAGAGACAAAAACCTAAGCTATGTATTTTTTAAATTGGGTCAAGCAGAATTATGATAGTGCAGAGAAAACTAAAATATATGTATCAAAGATGAAATAAACATATGGAACATTATGTCTATTTGTTGCTTACCATAGAGTTATGTCCTGCGATTTTGCTGGAGCCCTTTTGGGACCTTTTTTCTCTCAGAGTTTTTAAAAAAATAATTTCTTAATCAAGGAGCACTGAATTTTATATAGGATCTCATTTCATTTAGATCAATAAATTTACATGATACGATATCTGTCCCCTTTGGAATGTTTTTTAATTTCCACTTGACAATGAGGCAGAGATTTGGTGTTTTGAAGGAGGACTCACCAGTAATGTATCTTGCGTAGACGACTTTAACAGGGTGCCCCTGAAACACGAACTGGAGATGAGCAAGGAGAGTGAGCAGGACTCAGAAGAATCCTCTGATGAGGACAGTGACGCAGAAGAGACCAGCAAGTACATCAACGCTTCCTTTATCATGGTAGGTATCCTAACCTCCAAACCTCAGGACCTGACCCTTTTAAAAACATATCTATGTTATTAGGGCCTTTTATTAAGTGATTTTATAAAAAGCGATGAGTTTGCTCTTAACTACTCTGTTTCCCCGAAAATGAGACAGAGTCTTATATTTATTTTTCCTCAAGAAGATACCCCAGGGATTATTTTCAGGGGATGTGTTATTTTTTTTTTAAGTACGGTACAACCATCTACATTGATTCAAATAGAGTTGAGTCATCTTGTTCTGGAACATCATCATCATTCTCCAAACCCCGAATTCCATCCTGAATGTCTTGCGACTCTATTTCCTTTAGAACCACTGGCCCCAATCTCTCATGTCGAGCAATAGAGCTCTCACGAGGCAGATGAGAAGGGCTGCTTGTCATCTTTATGATTTCTAACCATTGATTTCTAACCAAATGATTTCTAAGCATGTGTGCGATAGAAGCCCTACCCCCAAAATAAGCCCTAGTGACGGGCGTGGCTATGCAGCACATCTGCACAACCCATGCATGTCGTCGAGGAGCGGGAAAGAGCACGAGCAGCCCTTCTCATCTGCCCCATGAAAGCTCTAGTGCTCGACAGGAGAGATTGGGGCCAATGGTTCTAAAGGAAATAGAGTCACAAGAAATTCAGGATGGAATTCGGGGTTTGGAGAGTTGACTGATTGGTTCAAAAAGCCAAGACGCTTAACTCTATTTGAATACATGTAGATTGTTGTACCATGCTTAAAAAAAAAACAAAACACATCCCCTGAAAATAAGCCCCTAGGGTGTCTTCTTGAGGAAAAATTAATATAAGACCCTGTCTTATTTTCAGGGAAACACAGTATCACTAGATAGTGTACATTGTGCCGATAGATAACTCCTTTTTATAATCACGGGAATCAGACAAACCTTTATAGCCAAAAAGTATTTTTCGGTGGAAGAGAACACGTGTTCATTTTGCAAGACAATATGTTTTAATCTTTATTTCACATTATTAGCTAAGAGTTATCACTATCTGAGTAAGCATTTTACATGTAGATAGTACATTTTTTCTCAGAGCTAAGAATCTTTTTTTGCGTGCAAGTCATTTATTTATTTTTTTTAGCATATTATGGGGGTATACAAGTGTTAAGATTACATATATTGCCCATGCCCTCCTCCCCCCTCGAGTAAGAGCTTCAAGCGTGTCCATAGAGCTAAGAATCTTAATACTTTTAGGTAACAACATTTAGGTAACAACATTTACGCCATCAAACTAAGTTACTTTGTGTCCAGGTGGGCATTTAAGAATCCACAGTGCCCTCCTCAGTTAGCCGTAGTAACAAAGTGCCACCCTGTTCTTAGTTATTTATTTGTTTATTTTTTTCTTTCTTAAGAGCTACTGGAAGCCGGAAGTGATGATCGCCGCTCAGGGGCCGCTCAAAGAAACCGTCAGTGACTTCTGGCAGATGATCTTCCAAAGGAAAGTCAGAGTGATTGTCATGCTGACAGAGCTGATGCAGGGAGACCAGGTGTGTGCTTCTGAGCGTCTTTTTTTAACCACTTCGGTACCAGCGCCGACTTTAGCTGACAGCCATGACATGACCGAGCGTGGACTTTAATCGACAGCCAAAAGCTTTTACAGCTTTTTTTTAGAATCAATTCTAATTTTTCATTTATCAAAATAAAATTGCGGACATTAAAAAAATAGCGTCATGAAAACAAACATGCGCATGTCACCTATTCTGATGTACATGACAAGGAAAGCTGCCTGTAAGGTAGAACGAGCTGTCGGCGCTTTCGAGCTCTCCTTGTCACACGAGAGGGAAACGGACTCGGGGTCCACGCGCAGCGCGGCCGCCGTGCGGACTCTGAGCGCTGCCGTGGGCGAGGTGTCGCGCCGGTGAGCGCCATGCCAAAGTGGTTAAGAGTCTTTTATGTCATGAGATATCACCGTCTCTTCTCGGATCGCTGGCTTCACGGCTGTGCCCACGCCTTTCTGAGCCCTCGTCACGGGGTGCCGTTGGCTTGGCGTCACCCCGCTGTGTCTGGGATGTCTCTGTCTCTCCAATCCGTCCCCATCCAGTCTTGCAGGCTGCTCACGGCTGTCTGGGCCGCAGCAGTGCGGGCGTCACCGCAAACGAACAGCAGCCACGTTGTCGCTCCGTCTTCTCCAAGAGTAAAAGCACACTTGTGTGATAGTGGGGACCCCAGCAGTCAGCCCCGCGTGTGTCTTTTCATCCCCCCCCCATTTTTATGTCGTCCATACTCTGCGTTCTCGACAAGCAGGTTTCCTGGCCGAGTCTTAATATATCTTTTACATTCTTGTCACCGAATCATAATTTTGCTGATATTCTTCCGTATAACGAAACGCGCCCTCTCTCCATTTCGACCCTTTTTTTTTTTTAACAAGGCAAAACTCCTGAAAAATGTATCTGTGTCCTCCCTTCTTTATTCCAATGAAATATTTATTACCGTAAAATTCTACAGTTGGAGGAGAACCTAAGATACAATTTGATCTTTTACTTAATGACTGTAACACTTACTGGATTCTTTCCTTAGTACCTTGAGTTATTATTAAAATTTCCCTGGTGTCGAGAGACAGAGACATCCCAGACACAGCGGGGTACCCAAGCAACGGCACCCCGTGACGAGGGTCAGAAGGCGGGGCACAGCGTGAAGCCAACGATCCGAGAAGAGACGGTGATATCTCACGACATAAAGACTCTTAACCACTTCGCCACGGCCTACCGGCGCGACACCTCAGGCCACGGCGGCACTCACAGTCCGCACGCGCGCGCTGCTGACGCGTGGCACGATACCGTTTCCCCGCTTCGGTGTGACCAGGAGAGCTCGAAAGCGCCGTCAGGCTTGTTTCTACTTTACAGGCTTTCCTTGTCATGTACATCAGAATAGGGTGACATGCTCATGTTGTTTTCATGACGCTATTTTTTTTTAATGTCCGCGATTTTTGATATAAAGAAAAATTAGGAATTGATTCTAAAAAAAAGCTGTAAAAGCTTTTGCTTCGATTAAGTCCACCGCTCGGTCATGTCATGGCTGTTCAGTAAAGCGGCGCTGGTACCGAAGTGGTTAAAAAAGATGCTCTAGAAGCACACACCTGTTCTCCCTGATCAGCTTGTCACATGACAGATCACTTCTGACTTTCTTTTGGAAGACATCTGCCAGACATCACTGAGGTTTTTGAGTGGCCCTGAGCGCGACATCACTTCCGGCTTCCAGTAGCTCTTAAGAAAGAAAAAACTAACAAAAATATAACTAAGAACAGGGGGCATTTGTACTATGCTAACTGAGGGAGTGCAACCGTGATTCGTAAATACCCACCTGGACACAAAGTAACTTAGTTGATGTCGCTAAAGTTGTTACCAAATGTTGTTATGGTAAAAGTATTAAGATTCTTAGCTCATGGCACGTTGAAGCCTCTTACGGAGGGGGGAGGAGGGCAGGGAATATATTTAATCTTAACCTCGTATACCCCTAATATGCTAAAAAAATAATTAAATTACTTGCACGCAAAAAGATTCTGCTCTGAAATAATTGTACTATCTACATGTAAAATGCTTACGATAGATAACTGTTAGCTAATAAGGAAATAAAGATAAACATATGTCTTGGCAAAATGAAACACGTGTCTCTCTCACCCGAAAAATACTTTGGCATAAAGGTTTGTCTGATATCCGTGATTATAAAAAAGGAGGTTATCTACGGCACATGTACACTGATCTAGTGGATACTGTGTTCCTGAAAATAATGACGGGTCTTATGTTATTTTTCCTCAGAAGACACCCTAGGGGCTTATTTCAGGGATGTGTTGTTTTTTTTTTTAAGCAGGTAGACAATTTAATGATTCAAATCAGAGTTAAGCGTCTTCTCGTGACATCATCATCACTCTCCAACCCCCGATATTCCATCCTGAATTCTTGCGACGTCTATTTCCTTTCGAACCACTGCCCCAGTCTCCATGTCGAGCATAAAGCTCTCATGGGGCAGATGGGAAGGGCTGCTCGGCTCTTTCCGCTCTGCGGATGACATGCATGGGTTGTGCAGACGAGCTGGTAGCCCACGCCCGTCCTAGGGTTATTTTGGGGGTAGGGCTTCTATTGGCACTGCTTAGAATACTTTGATTAGAAATCATGGGTTAGAATCATAAAGAGCACAAGCAGACCCTTCTACATCTGCCCAGAGGCTCTAGTTGCTCGGCATGAGAATTGGGCGCCAATGTTCTAAAGAATAGTGTCTTCAAAGAAATCAGAATGGAATTCGGGGTTTGGAGAGGTAGGATGATGTCCAGGAAGAAGACGGATTCAATATATTTGAATCAATGTAGATGGGTTGTCCATACTCTAAAAAAAATAACCATCCCTGAAAATAAGCCCTGGGTTTCTTCTTGAGGAAAAATAAATATAAACCCTGGTCTCATTTTTAGGGGGAACCAGGGGTTAAGACAAACTCATCGCTTTTTATAAAATCACTTAATAAAGGCCCTAATTAACTAGATATTTTTTAAAAGGGTCCGTCCTGAGGTTTGGAGGGTTAGGGATACTACCATGATAAGGAAGCGTTGATGTACTTGCTGGTCTCTTCGCATCGCTGTCTCATCAGAGGATTCTTCTGAGTCCTGTCACTCTCCTTGGCTACATCTTCCAGTTCGTGTTTCAGGGGCACCCTGTTAAAGTCGTCTACGCAAGATACATACTGTGAGTCCTCCTTCAAACATCAAATCTCGCCTCCATTGTCAAGGTGAATTAAAAAGCATTTCAAAGGGGAACGAATATCGTATCATATAAATTTATTGAAATTAAATGAATGAGATCCTACAATAAATTCAGGTGCTCCTTGATTAAGAAAATATTTTTTTAAAATCTAAGAGAAAGAAAGGTCCCAAAGGGGTTCCAGCAAAATCACAGATAATAACTTATGTTAAGCACAAATAACATAATGTTCCAATATATTTATTAATCTTTAGATACAATATTTTAGTTTCTCTGCACTATCATAATTCTGCTTGGCCCAATTTAAAAAATACATAGCTAGCTTTGTCTCTTAATTATATCTTATTAACATAAAAACAATCTTAGTGTAATTGGATCTCGGATTATTATTTATTTGTTGATTAGGTCTAAATTATTTGGTTCATAAGTGTCCTGTTTCTCAATTTCATTAATCTATAATATCCTGACCCAAGTGAACTGATTAACACATATCAATTCTGTATTTAGCTGTGTTCCTAAGAACTTCTGCAGAAATTCTAGGTCAACCATGCACTGAGTCTGATTGTATTTGGTTTCTAGTATACTGGGTATAATTTCATCACACTATTTAGTGTATGCAGCTGAATAAAAATTAGAGTTGTATAGCAATAACCAGTCATATGCCTAAAATAAGAATTAAGTCTTGGAAACTGTGCATTATTTGATCGTTAATTTGATGATGATATTCATAGATATCCCCCCCCTCTACGTTTCAACCTCCAGTATAAGGGATGAAAGAAAACATGAGTGAAAATGATGTATTTTTTGCTATTCGGCAACTGCCCTGAGTAAATAACAGAAAAAAACTAACAAATAGAAGAAATGTAAAAAGAACTTGATTAATTTTCTCCCAGATTCAGAGGTTTACATCTTTCTGACAACACATTTCTGAGAAATTGGGAAAGAACACGATTAGTCCTCCTTCCAAGTCCATTGTAAGTGGTTCTAAAAAAGGATCAAAATATTTCTATAAGTAAATTTAAATAGCCTATTAGACTCTTCCTATCATCAGCAACGTTTAAACTACTCAACATTGTTGTGTTGTGTGTGTGTGTGTGTGTCTCACATTAAACAAATCCAAAAGAGAGGTTAACTCTCTGACACAGAACAAAATAAAATAAATACATAGCAAGGGAGACATGTCTGAATCCTGTTTTGCTTTGTTTTCTCTTGATTCCAATGTGCTGGCCCTCCAGCTTCCTGTATGAAGGAAGTCTCTGAGCAAAAAAGAATAGAACAAAAACTCCTTCAAAATGTAAAGACTGGCTCAGTTTAATTATTGTGCCATAGTATGTTCCCAAAGAAAAAACATTTCATTCATTTTGGGGAATCTACACCCCCTAGACCACATTTTTACGTTTGCCTCTGATATTTTCCTTCGGGTTTTCCTCAGCATTTGGTACTTGATTTATACGATAAGTTTGAACATAAAAAGAATAGTAACGTAACAGAATACGGTGCCTCCTTCGTAAGAGCGATTGAAGCAAAGTAGTTATAAGTCAGTTCCCGCGACGTTGAGAGCACCACACTGATGCTGATTACTATCCATTCTGCAAAGCAATGTCAGTATTTTAATTGTCAGACGTACGCTCTGCAGACCAGCACCCCGGATGGACACATGCTTCGAAAGCGCGTGCTTCATTTGCGCCCCTTCCAGACTGCTCCCCCCACGACAGTCCCGTGGTCAGCAGGACCCGCCGCGCTGCTGCGCCGAGGCTCACACGCGCTCCACTTTCACATCTCCTACCTAGTCCAGTCCAGCTTCATGCTTAATTGGAAAACTACACTGTCTTAAAACCTCAGTCTTTGCTTCTAACCTTCCAAAATGCAAAACAGAAGATGTCCTTGTGGATCTTTGG